GATCTTCCTATGGCTAATTTGTTTGGCCTTCTACTTGCCACTTTTTGTTCACAATTAACATTAAGGGCCTAAATGTAATTTAAGAAACTTCACTAACTTAAAGAAAAATCAACAAATAATTGACAAAATTACAATAAAATTAACCTCTCAAAAGGGGTTGACAAAAAGGTAAAAAAAAGAGGGGAACAAAGACAACCAAAAACCAACATGGGAAGAGTAAATTTGACAGGCGACGATTTGCATTGCAACAACAGATTGCTGTAAATGTGGCAGTTACTCTTTCATTGTTGCAACTTCTTTGCAAGTACTGTATTTCGAGTGTACTGTACTTACTTTGAGGAAACTTTTGTGCGGCCCTTCCCCTGAAAAACAGCCGAAAAATTGTTAATTTAATTACAACACTTGCGTTCCGTTGACTGCTGCGACGATTACCAAAGCCTCAAAAGACCAAACACATTAGACAATTATTTTCCATTGCCACATATGGAGGGAAATGTGTTGCAAACACAAAGTCCGACAATTTGCTGTTTTGTTATAAAAAATTAAAAAAAAAAGAAGTAAAAACAAACAAAATAAAACACCCAAAAAGCGTACATAAAGAGGCGAACTAATGACGGCTAATGGGAAATGGCTTATGGTGGGTTTTATTTTTTATAAATTTTGTATTTCTTTTTTTTTTTGGCGTGGCACTGCTGCAGATGCTTAGAGATATCAGGCAAGGCAATTGCAATTGTCTTTTAATTTTTTGAACAGCCTTTTTTTTTTTTTTTGGCTGTCAGAGTGGCAAAACGCACAATGCCCATGCCCCAAGAGGCCGTAAAAAGTAACCATGGCTTGTCGAAGTTCCAAAATTGCGTCAGATTGTGGCGGCCAAACCCAGAGACGCCAACATGTAACTGCATTGAAATTGAATAGGAATTGAAAATGAAAAAAAACTTATATATATAAATTGGCGGCGATGACTGTTGGAAAACGGCATAAGTCATGTTCGGGGAGTGGGTCGGATAATTAATAAGCGCTCCCAATCCGTAATAAACCGTTGAATGGTCCCGCCAGTTTCGCCTCGACGGGCATATAGCTTGGCTTTACATGCATAATTATATGAGCACTGGCTGTACGTACACATCCCCATAAATGCACACACACATATTCGAGTATCTGAAACTATTCAACAATTCGAGTGTTATGCAAACCCATCACTAATTGTGATGGGAGAGGAGGGGCAGGCGGGCGGTGCAAAGAAGGTTGCACTTCAGAAAATGGCTAGTGTGTTGCATGGGAAACTGCAATTAAAACGATCAAAGAAACAATGACCAAACGTATACAAATTTCTTCGGCTGAAATCAAAAGAAATGATAATAAAAGTAAACAATTTTTAAGATTTAATTTCTTTAATGAATGGCTAGTAATAAATATTTATCCCGCAGTTGCAAATTTCGATGCATAAAATAATATTTTACTCCTGGCATCTCACTCATATGGACGCTCAAATAACAAACAACTGGTCATAAAATATCAGCTTTTTGGCAAGTCTTTGATTTTTATTAGTATTTTTGTTTGGCTCTGGAATACATAAAATTTAACGATCCACCGGTTTATTGGCTAACTTTTTGACTTAGTATTCGGATTAGAGGCAACTTCCAACGCGTGTTTTAGGTGCAGTAAAATATATTTTTTCCTGATTTATGTTCTTTTTGACCTGCTAACCTGGGAAAGTAAAATATTTTTAACTTCTTACAACTTAAAATATGAATACAAATCAATTTGGCATAACAAAAAAACTAGTTAGCAATGCTTAAAAATACTTTTAAGTTGAAAGTCTAACAACGTTACGTATACGCCGAGGGTAGGAAGTGATTGTTGTGTGGAAAAGAATGGAGGAAAAATCGATCAAACAAGTGCTAAGCACTCAAGAAACTAGAAAGTATAATAGAAACAAAAGCTGAAAATAACAATTACAAACGTTTACGCATTTGTCATGATTTTAGCTGATTAATTTCCGTCTTAAATCAAGCTATGACTTTTCATAAATATCACAAAACGTTGCTGTGATTTATGAAACAGTTGGATTTATGGCAAATTCGCCTGATAATTGCTTTGGTGTCTGGCACTCTGAAGAACTGCCAACTGGTAGGAAGATCTCCTGCTGTTTTTTTTCTTACGGTGGGAAGCAGTTAGGTTAGGGTACTGTTTTGTGTGTTGGCTGTCTCTAATCACTACGACAAGCCCCGAAAACCCTGCTGGCTAGTGTAGAGGTACTAACAGTTGACTCGAGTGGTGGGCAGCCTAATTGAGCGACTGTGTCGCCCAGGCCAAGTGCGTTTTTCCGTCTGTCATGGCGCACAACGATGATGATCAACCCAATTGCCATGGCGAGTAATAAAACTTGAGGAATCAGCAATGCGTGGCAGCTCTGCGGAGATGTTAGTTTGCGCCCACGACATCCCCAGCGATGATTGTGATGATTGGGACCAAGCCATGACAGTGGTTTGGATGTGCTGAAAAATTATAAAAAAAATGTTATTACCATATTTGCAGCTCTAGAAAAGAAGTTTATCTCAAAACTTTCTTTAAGATTGTTTATTTATTTATTTTTATTATATTTTTTACTCTTAAACTGAGACCTTTAACCACTGTATCACGCCTTCTGAAAAAAACTGAAACCATATCAGCCGCCACTGGGCGCAGCTTGAGAAGATACAACTTCAAAAAACAGTGACAGACGCCTCGTTCGAGTGACAAGGAAGCACTTGTGTCTATGCCAGTGAGTTGAGATTTGCATATGTGTGTCTCTGACATACAGTGGAAACTCTTTTGATTGTCTGACTATTTTACACGGCCGTCGTAGGCCAAAAGGCCAGATCCAGCGAGTTAATTGAGCAATGAAACTGAGAAATATCATAAAGCCAATCGCGATGCTCGAATGGATGACAGTCCGTCCACCACCACCACCGACATTGAGCTTAGTTTTTCTCTCTCTTGACTTGTGACAGTCAGACGACGTCGTTTGAATTATTGTTCGGTTTCAATTTCGTGGTTGACAATGGATTTTGCTATATAATTACACGATCTTCAATGTGACTTCTCTGGCACTTCCCATGCTTTGATCTTCGCCACGCTCCACAGGCAACTCGGCCAAATATGGATAAGAAAAAAAAAAATAAGAGAAACAGAAAATGAAAATGGAAGGAAAAGTGCATGGCTATTATGCAAGCTATGAAATTATGAGCTATGCTTCCTGGGCCCCCTCTCTATCTGTTAATTAGCTATTAAATAATGGAATGGCCCAAGTCATGTCATGTGTGAATGTGGGCCAATTTTCATGCTTCATTTGCAATGATTTTGCCATTAGTCTGACCAACATTTCCGACCGCCAAAGAAAAACTTCATCACTGGCATGGTACTGGTAGTCTGCATGCAATCAGTTTTTATTTTTCTTTCTCAGCTCACCTCTTTTTACTTTTTCTTTGCCCACTGAGAACAACAGACAACCCAGTTGCCTGGTTTTGGCCAGGTCTATACTCGTATATGTTCATGGCACCACTCGTCGACATTTGTTTGATCAATAGCTATAGCTAAAGCCGGCCAACAAAACGGCTGCCAGGCAAATTTATGTTTATTGCATGTGAAAGTATTTTGCCAATCAATTGAGTTGCCGCCGCTCGAGAAACATTCTCGTCCAGTGAAAGCTTTCCATGCGGGTTGACAAACAAAGCTGGCAACAATGGTGCACTTGGAGAAAATGATTTAAGTAATAAGTAGTAACGAAAAAAAAGGTGACTTTTCTAAAGATTTTCATCAAACATTGGTTCCTTAAAACTCGAAATTTTCCACAAATTTTTGATAAAAATAAAATTTGAAAAATATACCTCCCATTTTCCCTCTGCAATTCCCAGACCAGATGCTGGAAAAATAGGAAAATAGAAATAGACAAAAATAAAAGAGAAAAACTACTTTTACTTGGCCCGATCGACCGACCATCTGCGGTCTGTTCTAGTTTGTTCAGTCCGTTGACTTGGCTAACGTTGAATAGTCATGGCCTCAGCCCAAACACACAGACACACACTCAGCATGAATGATTGTCACAAATTGCTGCATCGATTGGTGTTGCAGCTACATACGAGTTAAGCTCCATGCTGCATTCAACGGCTGCATTAAGCTGCACTTTCTGCTATAGTTTTCTCCACGGGTCGCCGACGCCAGGCCAGCGGGCGATCTCGATCGCGCTCTCTTGAGCTCTCTGCAATTCATCAATCATAATTTGTATGTCATTCACTAATCGTTCGCACTGCACCCGAACTGCCAGAGTCCAGCGATTGCCCCACCATGATGATCAATTCAATTTACTTAAAGTAACGCAATGCCCTGGTGTTTTCCTACTCTCTCTTGGGTAATTATCGATACCATTTGGGCCCTTGCGTAAAGCCTCTTGATAATGACTTGTGGCAATGTAAGCTGATCTTGGTGCCAGGCCAGGCGGAAAGTACAGCCCATCGCACTTGACCATCGAAATCCGAAAACAACAATGATTCATGGGATTTTCTCGACTTGTGCGTGTTTGCTGGGTCTTGGCAGAGGGGAAATACAGTTGTTGAGGGAAAAATCTAAAGGCTTGGGAAACATTTTATGTTAATTAATGAGCCATAATGTTGAAAATGTTTGTTTACATATCTAAGAGGTAAATTTTACTTTATTTTTATTTGCTATTTTGATTTGCTAATGTATAAACTTGAACTGAAGTTTAATACAAATTGGTTGGGAAATTTGAGCTAACAATCAAGGGCCTTATGGCTAGTCAACCCTGAAAGTTTGTTAATGGAAAACTAAGTCTGTATTTTTAGTTTGATTGATACCTTAGTTTAGGTACAACTTCTACATATTTTTAGAAGTAAAGCAAGCTTTGGAAAATAACATTTTTTACTTTATTAAGAATGTAATTTTCAGTAAGTTAACCCGCAGAATATTAAATTAATAACTTATTTTTCTTCATCTCCTTGCAGAATGAAGGCTTCGAACCTGCAACGCATGGCATCAGCAAAACGGACGGAAGCTGCATCAGCCACCATAGTCAGAACCACAACGGGAACGGAATCGGCGGTATCAACGGAAACGGTATCATTGTCCACCATCTTGGTGGAGTCCTGCGCAACACTGACCTGGCCAGCGGGGCCATGGAGTGTCTGCCGATGAGCAGTGCCGCCCATCACCCACATCTGATGGCGGGTGCCGCGGGAGTCGGAACTGTTTCTGCCTCGCCAACGGCCACTGTTGTTGTGGGGGCAACGTATCCGCATCACCTGCACCATCATCACCTGAGCCACCATACGCCCTACAGCAATAGCTACGGGAGCCATCACATCCACAGCGAGCAGACCAAGTCGCTGCAGGAGCTGCAGCACGAGGTGGGTGCCCTGCTGGAGTTCCGGGATTTGGTGATCGAAACATTTCCCGATCTCAAGCACAAGATGGCCTCAATGTCGGCAACACCCTCAACGCCCACATCTTCGGTGGGTGCCATCGGTGGTAGTCACTCGGTGGGTGGCGGCAGCTCTTCGTTAGCCACAAGGTGGGGAAAATAGATTTTATAATTATAAAAATTATCGAAATTAAACAAAACTTTTGGAATATATCTTTGCAGCAGGCGTGAATGGGAGCCGGGTATACGTATGAAGCGAAAATTGTCGCACAAGGAACCGTCCACGTCGTCAGCGTCGGCAGCTGCTCCTTCATCTGGAGCGGAGGCTTCGTCCTCGTCGCTGACACGCAGCCGCAGCAACTCGCACAGCGGCAAGAAAGAGCCAAAGAGCGGAGAGAACAACAACGGCAGCGTTGTCCAAGACTCCGGCTTCTCAACGGAGACCAGTTCCTCCAAGGAGGGCCACAGTGCCTCCTCCACCAATGGTGCTATGACGGTGAGTCTCAATAAATCATCAATCAAATTAAAATGATTAATAAATTTCCTTTCTTTAAGCAGGTGGCCATAGCAGCAAATCGACTGAGCTGCGCGGAATCTGACGATGAGCTGCTCAACCTTTTGGACGTCATTCACCGCAAGTCCAATCGTTTACGCGAGGAGGTGGAGCAACTGCAGAGCTACGAACGCCAGCAGGGAGATGCCCAGAAAACAGGAGGGAGCGAGGGCAAGGGTGCCAACAAGGACGCAATGACACCGCAGCAGTTCCGGGAGCAAGTGGAGCGCCTCAATCGCGAGGACATCAAACAGCTGCGCAAGGAACGCGATCGTCTGCTGGACAAGCTGGCCGAAATGGAGGCGGAGACTCTGACTGGTCGGATAAAGGCAGCCAAGATGAGCGACCAGGTGGAAGAACTGGTAGGAGTGAAAAAGGATCTCGAGGAGCAGCTGAAACTGGCGATGGCCCAGAAGCTGGAGTTGAGTTCGCGGGTGCAACAGTTGCAGCAGCAACAGCAGCAGCAGCAAAGCAAGAGCTCTTCCAGGTGAGGAACTTTAAATTAAAGAAGAAAATTCTTCGGTTTCCCAACCGAATCCTTTTTAAGTATCTTCTTTCCATATTCTACAAATATTAATGAGCAAATTTCCATATTTCAGTGGCAGCCAGTCGGATTACTCCAGTCAACGCAACTTTCTATCCTCAGCCACCACGGTGCTCTCCAATGGCAGTCGCCCCAACAGCAACAACACATTCCAGCCGGTCGTCCTTGATCAGCCAGCGCAGGAAGCATTCCATCAAAGCTCAGGCAGTGATATAACCTCGAGGAAACAGCAACAGCAGCAATCCTTGGGACGTCTTGATGGCATCGTTAGCACGCCCGGTACTCGCAACTCCAAATGCCGTTTGACCGATTCCAAACGATTCGCGGCCATTCTCCTAGAGACGAATGTTCTGGAGCTGCAGCGTCACCTGCTAACCCTTACCGTGCAGAACCAGGTGCTGGCCCAAAAACTGGACTCGTCCAGTAAGTCCAAGACGCTGCTGGCCAAGCGGCTGGACAAGAGCAGCGAGGAGTTTGAGCATCTGCGTTATCAGCTAGAGGAGAAGAGCATCGAGCTGGAGGGCACTAAGGCGCAGTTGCGACTCGTGGAGTCACGCCTGCAGGCGAATAATAGCACCACCAATTCGTATCTGCATTCCTCGCAGCATGACTACGAGACCAATCGCTCCTCGGCTTCCACCACGTTGATGCTGAGTCGTCGCGGAGTTTCCGACTCAGTGGACTCCGCTTCGACGGCCATGCCCGCCCCGACAGTAACGCAGATTAGTACGCCGAGCATGAAGGCCATGGTGCCGCTGGCCATGGACGAGCTGCAGCAGCACAGCAGTAGCACGGAGTCGGCCCACGAGCACGAGAATCAAGCGCTTCGGACACCCAACAACACGACGAACTCCCCGCTGAGCAAGACAATGATGAATACAAGTCCATGTCCGGTGGGCAGCAGTACGCCCAGTAACATTGCCGCCCGTGTGATGAGCATCAGTGTGGGTGGGGTTAGTCCGTTTGAGGGCATGACTCCACCGCCGCGTCAGAATGCTTTCCGAAAGTTTGGAAGTGCCAGTAAGCCCAGCAAGATCCCCCTGCCGGGCAGCAAGGCGGCGGCCTATTTCTCGGGGAAACCGCCAACGGGAAGACCTTCAACGGCGGGACGATCTCCTCCATCGGCGCACAATTCGAGTAGCACCTCGTATGGCAGTAAATCCTCACTGAGCCGAAGCACTGGCAATCTGCAGAGCTTGCGAAGAGCGGACACATCCGCCTCCAATCATTCGCTTAGTACGAACACCAGCCGCAGTTCGACCTCCTCTTCGATACCGCTGGCCACCACACCTTACTCATCCGGCTCGACTGGCAATCGCAGCCAGCCGTTAGCCGCAACGACTCCGTCCCCGCGTGTGCTCCAGAATTCACCGTTGCCCAAGCTGAAACGAGATACGATCAGCTCGAGGGTGCGTCATCTGGACTCTCTGTCGCGTTCCCAACAATCACCGGAGGTCATGAAGGGCACAAATGCCACCTCCATTGCCGCCCAGCTAAGTTCGACGCTGCGCAAGGATCTCCAGCTGAGTGGAAACGGAACGGGGGCAGCAGCCTATCATCATCAGAACCACAGGCGAAGTGGTCACTCGCCGGCTTCCAATTCTTCCGGTAGTGGAGTGTCCCGGCGTTATAGTAGCGCCTCGACTGGTGGTTCCGGTGGTCGGGTCATTGGCCGGGATCAGGGTGAGAACATCACGCCAACGTCCAGTTTTGGCGGCGACAGTGATAGTGGCAAGGTACGCACTCTCAAATCAACATTATTGGGTTGGTTCAAGTGAATTATAATAATACTACTGATAATACCGATACATACATTTATATATATGAATATCTACTGATTACCGTTTAATATGCCTTCGATAACGTTTACGAAACAACAACAACAACAAGAACCACAAGAATCCATCATCTTCGTTACAGTTTCAAGTTGAAATCAAATCAAAATGAATCAAAAACAAAAAAAATCTTAAACAGAAATCAACAACATATATACGAAACCCGATATTAACTGTATATGTTAATATATTACATAGTTACGTGCATATATATATTTATTTAAACATACAATTAACCCACGGCATATATACACACCATACCATATACTACAGTTACATGCATATATATATATATATATATATATATATATTCGAAATCCGAAAGATAATCGATTACGTAAGCATGTTGTGCCTCCTAAGCAAGGAACTTTGTTAACTGCGCCCGTTGTTTGTCCTTGAATTTGTCAGGAAATTTATGATTCCTTAACAGGATACAGATTATGTAACATCATTTAGTTGCTTTCTTTTAGTAAAATTATAAAATTTCGTTAAAAAATTAAACAATTTAACATTGTTAACTATTTGTTGAGTATTTCGATTGCGATTCCTTTAAATTACATTCTTTTTTTTAATTTGTTTTTTGTTTTTCGAAATGAAAAGATTTAAAGCCACTTCTTGCCATAGCAAAGTCAGCTTTCCGAAGAAGAGTTTTCCTGCCGAAAGAAAAGTCAACACAGTTCACAAATCTTAAAAGTATGTTTTTGATATTAACCCCACACTCCCTAGAATACAGTTAAGACCCCGCTGCCTTTTGGGTCGTTGACTTAACACTTGGCTTTAGTGAAAGGTGCCGTCAATCCAACTCTCACTGCCTATCGATGCCTTAGGTGCTCTGTAGTAGCCGGCTTTAATTAATCAGCAATTTCACATGCAACACCAGCACCAGCAGCAGCAGCAGCAGCGGCGGCAGCAACAATAACAACTGCAATGTTTCCTCTATATAGTTATGTATATATATATAAAAAAAAAAGAAGTAAAACAAAAGTCAAAAGCATGTACAATATCATTTCATTTACTCATATTATTTAATTTATGCAAATCACGTTTAGTATGTGCATGCCCCCGCCCATCATTGTTGGATCAGCCAGTCTCTCATTGTGTTCGAAAGCGAGTTTAGTTATTAGTTTGATTGTGTATTTAATTAATTATTATGATTATTATTATTATTATTGCTTTCTTTGTAATTAGTATAAGCTAAACTTAAACTACTTACTGGGCTTAATTTAAAGGCTAATTTATTGATTTGTGTATAAAGCAGATGGGCTTATACCAACCTATGCGTATATGCTATTACATAAAAAAAAAATATTAAAAAAGAAATCAAACCGATTAGCATATGATAGACTTTTCGATTTATTTGTTAAAAACTTTGAAGGAATTAATAAATTTCGTGTAAAAACAGAAAAAGACTTGCCCTAAGTTAGTTAACTGAAATGCTTAAATGCCAGCAAAACATATCATTATAAGAACCTGGTTTAATCACATGGCTTAAAGATAGTTCATGGTCGATAGCTCTCATCTGAAGATTCAACTAACCAACACACTCACTCTCATCCCACACACTTACACCAGGACTATATACACATCGACAGCATCTCAAACGTGCTTCATTTTTATTGGCTTTGTTTGTGCATCATTGCTGCCAAGCACCCCAAGAAAGATTCCAAATTAGACGATGATCACACTTGAAATAATTTGTATCTAATGCTGTAATTTCTTTTTTACTTTTACTTTTTTTCTTTCTGCGCCTTTCCAACCCTGTTTGTATGTCTACTCCAAAAACAAAACAAAAAAAATATATATATATATTTAAACTGTCTGTTGTTGTCATATAACTCACATATACTCGTATTTTGTATATCCGAAAAACTGACCGAACCAAAAATATCCCCGCTAAAAACTATATATATATAAATATATATGTACATAAATATATGTCCAACCAACCAACCAACCAACCAACAACAAAACCAATCAACCCAAAATCCCAAAAACCAAAACAAAACCACCAACAGCCCAAAATGTAACTAAAAAACTTATGTGAAAATCTGAAAAACAAGCCACTTTTCCTAACAAACGACAGGCTACACAGAGAAAAAAATATATAATCATCGGAGTTGGTATGGATAGCAGATAAAGGTGGTGTGCTGATTGATTGACTGATTGATTGACATGTTGGTGGTGAATTCACAAATTTCGACTGCATGCCAAGAAAAAACAAAAAAGAAAACAAAACTGCTAACCAAGTTAAGAGTGCGACTGGAGTTTTTGGTATCGGACAGCCAAACACATAACGATGGCCAAAACGAAAAAGGAGCAGCGCCCTCGCCCAGTACATCCTCCTCAGCTCAGATCAGCTCAGCCTAAAAACTATAAAACCAGCTCAGATCTCAATCTTGAGCCCTATGTTGTATATCGTTTGTCTGTTTTGTTTTTGGCCGAAAAAGCAAAGAGACAATGAAGTAGACACTTTGCCGCCATTCGTTATACGCGTAAGTCTCTCTCTCTTTTGTTGTTTTTTCACTTAGTAGGTTAAGCTCTACCATTTCTTCAAAACCAAAACCAATCCACAAATCCCCCTACACCGCCACGGCTTTCTTTTGCTTACCCCAACACTGAGTTATATATATTTCGATGTAGTTTGTAGTAGATCTAGCTTGCCAAGACTATCTAGAACCAGACCTAGACCCTCACCCTTTCTTCAATAGCAAACGGGCAGTGCACACCAAAAAAAAAACACAAATTTTCTATTCAACTTTTTAAAAATGCCAAAAAAGGTAAACGAAATGAGTGACTATAGACACGTTGTACATATACCAATTGGTTGATTAATTGATCGCTCTGTGCTAACCCCAAACTATATATATACATATTGTGCCTGAGGTTGAGGTATCTAACTGCTATCCAACAGATAAACTCTCCCGCTAAATGCTAACCCCCCAACTTTTGTGTTATCCTAACTATCTTTGCGTTAATGTGCCTAAAAAGCCGTCTTAAAACCCCTTACTTTTTCCATTTTCGTTCTAATTTTCATTGCTTGCTTGCACTTTGAATCAAAGTTTTGATATTCTATTCTGTTTTTCTTTGCTATCTCCGAAAATGATGCTCAGAATTTGGCCAACAACGTTGATAAGCCAAATTTCCGTCTCAATAACCACAATTGGCAACTATGGCAAACGAACAGCAACAGCAACAGCAGCAGCAGAAGCCAGGGAAAGATTCAAATGGAAAAGCCGTATCCAACCCTTGAGCTGCACGATGTGTCCGAGGAGACGGCCTACGATTCGTATTACACCGAGTATACAACGCCCGATTCCATGGACTGTGGCAGTAGCAATATCTTGGTAACCTTTGACTATGGCTACAGTGACTCCATCGAGGCCAGAGCTGATCTGGCATTGCTTCAGGATAATGTTGATGATGATGATGATGATCGGGGTGATGGCGCTGTTCCTTTACCTGGTGATGGGTATGCAGATGGAGATGGTGCCATTTGGTTTGGTACTCCGCCGAAGGAGAAGAGGGACGAGAAACTGTTTGAGGTGCATCATGTGCAGCACAAGCTGCTGGACGACAGCCTCCAGTCTCTGATCTCCTACGACGTTGATGATTTTGAAGAGGAGGAGCTATCGGAACCAGAGCCAGATGAAGAGATCTTCTATGACAGCATTGAGTGTGTTTAAGCAGGGGGGCACGTGTTTTTTTTTTAACTATCAACTATCATATCTAAAACTAGTCTTTATTTTTGAAAAACCTTCTTCTTTTTTTGTAATTATCGAAAGGAAAATGGATAATATATGTATGTAGCTGTTAGTATATAGTATATAGTTATGTGACGTATATAATGTTGATTCGGCTTAACTATCCAAGAGCCCTGCAATGAAAGATTGTAATTGAAATGATTTGTGACTGAATTTGGTTTGATCGTTAGGTTTGTTTTTCTCCCAACCCCGTTAACCATTCAGGGCTTTAGTCTATACGCTTGATGGTTTCTTCGACTATTTATTAGTAGCATACTAAAATGTATGTCTTAACCACTACTTTGTATGTATTAATTAGTATGTGTGTGCATCATTGTAAGAGTCTTAAGTTAGTTATCACCAAGCACCATTGCCTATTTACTCAAAACTATAATTAATTTACGCGTACTAGGATGGCTAAGTAGTTTAGTTGTTAATAAAATTTAGTTAACACATTGCATCTAATGTATGTATGTACAGTTTGATATACCATCTAATATTATGTATGTATTTTATTTAAGTTTTGGAAGGCAAATGTAATAGGGTCTACTATATATCTATCATGTTATCACGAAAAACTGCGTTTACTACATTTATAAAACCAAACATAAAAAGAAAAGAAAAAACAGACATTAGAAGAGAGAGGTAAATAAATGATTACGATTCATATTAAAGCTAATAATAATATATATTCAAAAGGCAGCAAATGTAGACATGTATCCATTTAAACAGCAAATGTAATTGATAAACACATATAAATGAAACAAAAAAGAAACTAAAATAAAAAGAATAAAAAATAAGCACTATAAGTTTTATTGTTTTGGATTTTTTGGGTAAGTTTTCTTGTTTATGGAAGCCTATCAAAAAGGAGTTAACTTACCAAAATGCAATTAATATTCCAATAAATATTTCTGTATTTTCAAATCTATAAATAAACATAAACATACTTCATTGATACATTTTCCATATCAATCAATCAAAGTTAACGCCCTTGATAGACGGGTTTTCAAGTGGCCATCAAGTGGCAGAAATTGAAGTTAATTGAAATTCAAATTTTGTAAATGCAGTGCAAATTTTCAAACAGCTTTTCTCTCCACCTCTCTCACTGAAATGTTTCAATTTTTTCAAATTCCGCATAATTGAATAAAGAGCGTTGAAGAGTCGGAGAAAGGCAAATGTGGACTCTCATGTAAGCAACGCTCTCTCTTTTCGGAGCACTTGGTACTCGAGTCTGGGGTCTCCGTGCTCAACCAGTTGGCTATGTGCGCTCCGTGTCAGCAGAACATTCACAACCGTAACGGGTTTTCGCTGTGCGTTCAATAAACTCAGAATTTGGTTTTCGGGACTAATAAACCGATTTTGAAAACCAGCTGGTGATTAGCTTACCTCTCGTTACCCACCAGAACCCACTCAAATATGTGCTTATCACAGTACTGCGAGTGCCGGTAAAGTTGTTGGCCGCTAAAATCTGTTATCAGCCAACATGGATTTCGAGGAGATTTTGGCCAAGTGCGGCAACAGCAGTCGTTATCAGTTCGTGCTGTTGGCTCTTTATGGTTACCTTATGGTCGTCGTTTCAATGCACTATTTCTCGCAAAATGTCATTAGTTTCGTGCCCGACCATTGGTGTTATCATGAGCAGTTGGTAAATCGGAGCTTCGAAGAGATCGAGGCGATATATTCACAATATGAGAATCCCTCATGCACGCGGCTGGAAAGGATTGGCGAGGATGGACAGAATCACACGTTGAGCAAGGAGCGCTGTGATCGTTGGTTCTATAAATATGATTTTGGTTATAGGAGTATGAATACGGAGGTAAGTAATTATAGATAATTCCTGGATATTTATTTTATGAGATTAAATTGCCTTTATAATTGCCTAAACGATTATTTATGAGGTGTTAGAAAGGGGTTTAAAAGTGGGATTGATGGGGGTTAGAACTATATATTAAATATTTTAAGGGGCGTAAGTTAGCTCTGATATGGGTAAAAATACCTTTTACTGAATAATTTCAGGTGCACTTACTTTTTCAAAATAAAAAATATATATTTTAATTACTTTAGTAAAAGCTTTGAACAAAATTAAAAAGTAAGATGATTACTGTATGATTTTTTCTCTTTTTTTGATCAGTTACATATACTATATGTGATATATAATATAAGCCAATCTTGGTAAACAAAAACATGTAACTTCTGTGAAATTTTTCGATTGTTTATATTCCATTTTCCAGCTTAACTGGGTTTGCCATGATGCCTATAAGCCACGGTGGGGCCAATCGCTTTTCTTTGTGGGTTCTGTATGCGGAACTCTAATCTTTGGCCAGCTTGGCGATCGCATAGGTCGCATTAAGGCCTTGATTTTGGCCAATTGGTGTGGCTTCCTTGGCGATTTCTCAACCATATTCGCCAACAGTCTCGTCTCATTCTCTATTAGTCGCTTTGTATCTGGATTGGCGGCTGATGCCAACTCTTATCTCATGTATATACTAAGTAAGTATTTCCTTGGTTTTTTAGATGACTTAAATTAATTGTTTATTTTCTGTAGTTCTCGAATATGTCTCACCGTCGCTGAGAAATGTGGGTCTGAATACAGTTTTGGGCAGTTTTTACTGTCTTGGCCTGATTGGAGCTTGCTGGCTGGCTGTTTGGGTGGGTCACTGGCGCATATTCCTGGCTTGCTCTTCGGTTCCTCTTCTGCTGGTCACGCTTTTCTACTTCCTCGTCCAGGAGAGTGCCCAGTGGCTGGTGACGAGGAATGATATCGATGGAGCCATTAGGCGATTGCAGCGTGTGGCCAAGATCAATCGTCGCCAGGTGGCTGATGAGGATTTTAGAACCTTTCGTAGCTACTGTGAGGAGCACTATCGGAAGGATGTTAAGGAGCAGGACAGTCAGGCTAATGTGCGGGATATGTTGAAAACGCCACGGATGCGTAGTACGGCATTTAAATTGCTGCTTATTTTGTAAGTAATTAAGTTTTAGTTTTAATATTTTAAGACCTCTTATTAAGAATGCATTAAATCCACAGCATCATCATCGTTCCCTGCTACAATACCATCGCTCGAAATGTAGAGGGCCTGGGCATATCGCCCTTCATCATGTTCTCGTTAAACGCATTGACCTTGCCGCCTTCGGGTTACCTACAGGGTCTGCTGCAGGATCGGATAGGGCGAAAGGCCACCGCTGTGGGTTGGATGACGATAACAGGATTGTTTGCCGCAGCCGCTGGTCTGGTGATATCGCAAGGTAGCAATCGGAATGTCACACTGCTGGTGGGTCTTACTTTGGCGGCCAGATTTGGGGTCTCCATTGCCGATGGTGCCAGCTCGCAGTTCTCCACGGAGCTCATCCCCACCAGCGTGCGAGGAAGGGGAGTGGCTGTGGTGCACGTGGCTGGATTTGCTGCCTCTTTTCTCTCGCCCTACATCCTGCACTTGGGCACTTATTTCAAGCCAGCTCCCTCGATAATTTTGGGGCTTCTTTTCCTTTCTGGGGCTTATGTGTGCCTGCTACTACCCGAAACTCGTAATAAGAAACTTCCTATGTCCTTGGAGGAAGGAGAGGAGTTTGGCAAAGGAGAAGGCATATTTGACTTTCTGGTCAATATGTTTAAGAAGGATAGTGAAGAATCGGTGGTTGAAATGAGTACCAAGAATGTGGAGGAGGACACTCTGATGGCCAAGGCTGTACAGCAGTAAGCTCAACCTGATTTTATATTTTAAAATGATAAAGTAAAGTAGTAAATTTTAGTGCATTTAAACTGATTAAGTCTTTTTTATTTCTTCATCTTTCAAGTTGAGAAAATGAAAAGATAAGAATGAAAAATATTAAATTAAACCCAAAATTCTGATAAAGCTTTTTAAAGGTCAAAAATTTAGATATTGTCCTGCAACCCAAAACCCACTATAAAATCTTATGACGTAAACTTAAGCTGCATACTTAGCATAACCCGATATGCAGCCAAACTGTAGTATTTCTAAGATCTTTAGTGGGTCTTTGAATGAACTGAATGATCAGACCACCTTATAGACTGGCTGTATAGTTAGCCAAGTAAGCATCAACGAAACGGCCTGTATAAATTAGCAGTAACATAGTTGTATATTTTGAATAGTAGATTGGCGATTACAGCGATGATATGGGGACAACAAAGTCGCTTATCAACCATTATAATTAAATCAGAACGTATAAGTTATGATCGGAATCGTGCATAAGGCGAGGGACTTATCAACAGCAGCACCAACATCAGCAGCGGCAGTAGCGGAGAGGCAACGCACAGCAGAGTCGTTTCAACTATTTAACTCCAATATCAGTTTTACCGCAGCCGCTTTCACAATACGCTCTTAACTATTCGATAGAGGCGTTTGGCTTGACAGAGCGGACCGATTACCGTAGCGGACCCACCACTGGCACTGCCAGTATGTGCGTGGCAGCGGAAGAGAGCGGACCGCGACCCAACTCAGACACAGTTTTCGGTGCCGCGTTGAAGTGCATCATCTCCGGACATGGCCATGGACTTTGATGAGATACTGGTTAAATGCGGCGACAGTCATCGCTACCAGTATATGCTATTGGCTCTCTACGGACTATTGATGTTCATCGTTTCCCGGCAATATTTTGCCCAGAGCGTCATTAGCTTCGTGCCCGATCATTGGTGCTATCACGAACAGCTGGTTAATCGAAGCTATGAACAGATCGCTGCAGTATACGCCCCATTCAAGAGACCTTCGTGCACGCGTCTGGAATGGATCAATGAGGATGGTAGCAATGCCACTGCCAGCAGTGAACCCTGTAATCGTTGGATCTACAACTATGATCATGGATTTCGGAGCATGAACGCTGATGTGAGTTCTAGCTGGGGGCGCCTCTTAAGAGCGTTATCATTTAAGAGAATTTATGTTTGCCCCCCTGCAGCTGAATTGGGTCTGTGATGATGCGTACAAGGCGCGTGTGGGTCAGTCCCTGTTCTTTGTGGGCTCCATGTGTGGCACTCTACTGTTTGGCTTACTCGGTGACAAAATTGGACGAATCAGGGCCGTGGTTTTGGCCAATTGGTGCGGTTTTCTCGGGGACTCGGCCACTATTTTTGCCCAGAGCCTAGTGACTTTCTCAGCCAGCCGGTTCGTATCTGGCCTGGCTGCTGAGGCCAACGCCTACCTGATGTATATTCTAGGTATGTTATCATATATGTATTTTTTTATACAGCTCTTGGACTTATCTAGTTTATAATTCACCTCCCATATAAAACAGTGCTGGAGTACGTCTCGCCGACGATGCGAAGTGTGGGCCTAAACCTGACGATGTCTGTTTGGTATTGCCTGGGCATGATAAGTGCATCTTGGCAGGCTGTGTGGTTAGGCGGTTGGCGTTCCTTTATGGCCTGGTCGGCCCTGCCCCAGCTGCTAGTCACTGGATTCTATTTTCTGGTCCAGGAGAGCGCACAGTGGTTGGTCACGCGTCATGACATAGATGGCGCTGAGTTGAGGCTGCGCAGGGTGGCTAAGTTTAATCGGCGTGAGGTCAGCGAGGCGGACTTTGAGCTCTTCCGTCAGCACTGCAAGACGAAGGAGTCGGAGGCCTGCAGCCAGATCTCCATGCAGAAGCAAGCACGTCTCATCGATGCCATGAAGTTCCCACGCCTTCGCATAAGACTGATCTACGTGCTGGTTGTCTTGTGAGTAGATAAAAAGGAGACTTCTAAAGAACTCTTCAATATAATATATATATATAAATATATATTCCTTGCAGTTCGATAACGGTGCTCTGCTATAATACCATGTCACGGAATGTGGAAGGTCTGACCATCTCGCCGTTTGTGATGTTCACCCTTTTCGCCCTGACCTTGCCACCTTCGGGCATCTTCCAGACCCAAGTCCAAAAGAACTTTGGCCGCAAGTTCACTTCCGTGATTAGTATGTCAGCCACGGGAGTGATGACTGCAGCCACAGGGATTTTGCTGACCTTCTGGACGCAACCCAGTGCCACGGTGATGGTGTGCCTACTGCTGGTCTCCCGATTCGGGATCTCCGTGATCACTGGGTCTACGATGCAGATATCGGCTGAGCTAATGCCCACCTGCGTGCGATCGAGTGGTTTGGCGGTGATTCATGTCACAGGAGCAGCCTTCTCCTTCCTCTCGCCGTACATACTGCATTTGAATACCTATTTCCAGGCAGCATCTTCAATCATACTCTGTATGCTGCTTCTGTTAAGTGCCTGGATTTGCCTGCTCCTGCCAGAGACGAGAAATAAGAAGCTGCCCATGTCCCTGGCGGAGGGCGAAGAGTTCGGCAAGGATGAGCGTATGTTTGACTTTTTGAGAAGTTTGGAAAAGAAGGATCAACATGATCTTAGTGCTGGCACCAATGAGAAACTTATGGCGGAGTAAAAGTACTTACTAAGTAGAAGCTTAGCAGATCTGTTTAGGTTTCCAGAAAAGCTGCTTTGTATTTTTCAGAAAAATGCATTTAAAAACATTCGTTAAACTGACCCAATGATTAAAACTAGAATTTATGCCTGTATGATTTCAAATATTGTATAGAATTTACAAACTTTTTGTTAATGTTTACCTTTAATAATTTGTTTATAGTTTTAATGAATGAAATTATGATTTAACTTTAATGACATTCACTAAACAGTTAAGATATTCTTTATCTAGATCTGTAGACTATTCATAAAGAACATTATGAGCATAAACTAGTGGAATGTATAAAGTACAAGATGATAAAACAGCTGACAATAAGAAGGGCACGAAAGACTGCGGTAATAACTATTATTGTCGGAGGCTTTGGATAAGAAAAAATCAGACATCATTATATGATTTGTTTTTAGTACTTTATGAACATTAATATAGGTTTAAATGAAAAAAAGGAAATTAATAAATGTACAAAAGATTTTTTAAAAGGTCTTCAACTTCTTAAGAGATTTTTTATAATCCAAATTAACTTTCAGTACTTAAAAGAGAGTATTTGAAAGTTCATAAAAGTTCATACTAGCGCATCACGTCTGTCATTCTTACTTTTATCTAAGCTCACTCTTGACCTTATTTATATTACATATTATACACTTCTGGAAGAAGCGGCTCTTTGTTGTTTTGGCTTTTATTAAGAGTCCATTCAACTTATTAGAGGTCACGCCGAATGTTTATCCATTGCGGGGAAGGCTTTCCTGCTTTCTCGTGAGACGCCGGCGTTTGTTTAGATTGGAGTGAATGAGTGAATTCACTTAAATAATAATAAAGCGTCTGCGTTTTGAGAGACCCGCCATCGCCATATGTAGGCGATAAGCCCACCGCCGCCCCCCAAAACAATCTTATCGCATTTAGTCGTAGAGTCTCAACGTGCGAATCCGGCCACCTTGCACTCTTTCGCCTTGCCACGGTTCGGATTGGGTTTAGTCTTAATAGAATCTCAGCGAGAGTACGACATCGTCCGGCTTGTCATCATCATGGATTTTGACCAGATCTTAGAGAAGTGCGGCAGTTCGGGTCGCTATCAGTACCTTATGATTCTGCTTCTTGGCTACGTAGCCTTCACTACCACCGTTCACTATTATTCCCAGAACATCATTGGCTTTGTGCCCAAGCATTGGTGTTATCATGAGGCACTTGCAAATCGTAGCTTTGAAGAGATTGCCTCAATTTATGCACCATTTGGGAAGGATGCCTCCTGTACGCGACTGGACAAGATTGAGGGCGACCAGGTCACGGTAAGCAACGAGACCTGCCAGCGTTGGATATATAACTATGATTTTGGATTCAGAAGCATGAATGCGGAGGTGAGCTAATAGAGTTGCAGAGAGTTCTCCAGTTTTAAAGTAGCATCTTTCGTTGACCAGCTGAACTGGGTGTGTAATGATGCCTACAAGGAGAGGATCGGACAATCTCTTTTCTTCCTGGGCTCTCTGATGGGAACCTTTACCTTTGGCTTGCTGGGCGATAAGATTGGCAGAGTGAGAGCCGTGATCCTGGCCAATCAATGTGGTTTCGTAGGAGACTTTCTCACCACCTACTCCGCGAACTTGGTGCAGTTCGCCATCTTTCGGTGCATCTCTGGTCTCGCTGCCACGGCAAATTATTATCTGATGTTTATTCTGGGTAAGCACTGTGATATCTTGAGCTCCCCGTTGGGTAAGGTTGTAGATCTAGAGAGAGAGGTATCTTAAATATATAGTTTAAAGTCAACAACAGTGGGTATTCCTATAGAATTGCCCTGACATCTCATGTTACGCATCAGTTTGGGTTGAACAGATGGCAGTGGGTCAAAAATGTCCATTCCTAACTCTGGGAAACTTCGTGTTATCTTTGTTTATGAATTTTGACTTTGGGGTAGTGATATGAGCTTCAAAATATGTTTAATTGTTGTTTAAAATGATTATCTGATAGCATTATCTCTGTGTTAACTTTTTAACAAATGAATTAATCCCAAATAATCTCCATCTCTTTGACTAAATAAGCCTGCTATATGCTCTCCTTAAGCTTAGTGAACAACATTTTATCATTGATTAACTTACAAGCTTTTAATAACAACATAAATACCCTTTTTCAGTTCTGGAATACTTGGCTCCTAAGCTCAGAAACATGGCCATTAGTGGAACTTTGGGCATTTGCTTCTGCCTGGGAGCTCTGGTGGCTCCCTGGCTTTCTGTACTTGCCGGCAACTGGAGGATCTACTTGACCTGTTCGGCACTCTTGCAACTTGTGGTGGCCCTCTTTTACTTTGTTGTTCAGGAGAGTGCCCAATGGTTGATCACAAGGACCAATGTGGAAGGTGCCATTGCCAGACTAAAGCACATCGCCCACTTCAATGGAAGGGAGGTGAAGGCAGCGGACTTCGAGGCCTTCAGAAGGAACTGCATCGTTAAAAGAAAGCTCTCAAATCAGCCAGAGCAGACGGCGGGAATTTTCGATTTACTAAGGACTCCAAATCTGCGAAGGACTTCGCTGTTAGTGGTTCTTACCTTGTAAGCATGATTTTAGTTCATTTAGTTTAAATCTTAAAATTTAATATTCATTGAATTTTAAACTATATAGCATGCTGACTTCGCTGAGCTTCAATACCATCTCTCGGAATGTAGAGGGCTTGGGCCTGTCACCTTTTGTGGTCTTCTCGCTTTTCGCAGTGGTCGTCCCTCCATCTGGATTTATTCAGGGACTCCTGCAGAGTCGAGTTGGCCGCAAGGCTACGGCTTTTTGGCCATGCTCTGCACTGGTCTATTGTCCTGCGCCTTGGGCGTGGCTCTTTCCACGGAGGGAGCCCAAAACAACGTGACCTTGCTATTGGCCTTCGCCCTGCCCATGCGACTGGGCATCTCCATGTGCTATACGGTCACCTCACAGTTTGCCTCGGAGCTACTGCCCACCTGTGTGCGTTCGCGCGGAATAGCTGCAGTGCACCTGGCAGCTGCGGGGGCTTCCTTTGTGTCACCCTACCTTATTCATCTCGGCACCAAGCTGGCGGCAGCTCCCTCCCTCATCCTGGCCTTGCTCCTGCTCTCCGCCTCCGTTTGCACCTTGATGTTGCCCGAAACGAACAATAGGTGAGTGTAGAAAGGGGATTGGTAAGGTTTAGTTTTGGGTGATGAAAAGAAGGCTTTCATGTTTAAAACTATTTAAAAAGATTTAAAAACAAAAATAGATACTTTTCTGAAGTTTTTCTCAGAAACTTATAAGCCTTTTCGTAATCCACAGACAACTGCCCATCACCTTGGCGGATGGCGAGGCCTTTGGCAAGGGCGAGTCCATGCTGTCCTTCGATTGTTGGCGCCGGCACGATGATGACGTGTCCAAGCAACCCGTTGAGGAGGTGAAACTCCATCAACTCAATGGGCAAACAAAGCCGGAAACGGAAGCGGACGTGTAGAGAGCGAAACCCAATCAAAGTATTTCCCCTTAGACTAATTTACCAAAAGAGTTTTTAGAAAGAGAGACAAGGACACGATACGATTGCGAAAGTTGTCAATAGATGTGAAGTTTGCTTTATTGATTTATTGATTTCACTGCTGTTCACAAATTTTTAACACAATTTTGTTTTTTTCTTTAAACTTAGCAACTTGTATTGAGCCAATTTCTTGAGTTAATTAGCTTGTTGGAATCGTGTGTCGTGGGTATTGTTGTTTTTGTTTTGTCGTATTAAGTACTTACTTGTAAGTAAAAGGGTCATAAGTATTTCTTGTATCTTTGTAAATGGTTATGTAAACTCTTGTAATTATGTAACGCTTAAATGCCATAAACATAACGGCTACAATTTGATCGCTTCATTCGCTGCCCAGCCAATTGCCATAGAAAGTCTTACAAACTCTACCATACAATAATCACGGAATCTCAATTGAGATTTCCGTATTGCGAAACTGATCAATGACCAAAGGTCTCTTTTTTTTTTTTTTAGCTTAAATCTAAGTGTAAAGTCTAGCGCAGACATGGCGAGAAACATGATTTAGGGCCCCTGTCGCCGGTTGCCAGATTATAAAATTTTGAAAATATATATGCCATATATAGAGAAAGCATTTCCGACCAACTTAATCAGTTTCCTCATCCTAACTGACCATAAAGAGTTCAGATTTAAAAATGATATAGTTACAAAAGGATCAACAGATTGTTCTTAGGGCAGTACAGGGATCAGTGTCTTAGTAGCTGTGAACCAACTTAGAACTTAGTTTAATGCTTATAGGAAGGCAACCGCAGATCATCATCATCTAATTACTATGTATATTTGTGTAACTTATGTGTGTATTTCGCTAAAAAAGTTCTCTACATTAACGCAACATTGTGTACTTTTAAGGGCGGGCACGGCTCATTGGCCTTCTATGCCGAATCAAACATATTCCTTCTTCTGGTTTTTTTTTTGTTTTTCTATGAGCAATTCTGGCGAATGCTAACAAATACAATGGGTACATAAATATTTCTGATATCTGATAGTATCGGTATCTGTAACATTAATCTGTATGATTTGCTGTGAATCCAAGGGGATTCTTCGGCAAAAACGTCAAAAACGTTCAATAGAAATCAACTATCGCTAAGGAGTTGGGGGTACTATCCCCCAATCTGGGACTAATAACAAATATTCTTCACCCAAATCGCTTAGTATACTACGGAATGCGAACGTAGTGCTCACTGGTTTGTAAAGGTGTTATATAGTTATGTATCTCTCAGTAGATGTATATATATGTATATGTATAAAGTTGGTAAGTGTGAAGTCTGTATCGCATCCATAAACATGTATCTATAATCAACACTACGAGTTCACAATAGTTCAGTTGAATCCGAAATGCAGCACGTACACGGTAAAAAGGTAAAAAGATCTCTCGTTATTTCTCTCGCAACCTGAGACCGGATCGAGTATCCTATATACGACTATATATAGCACCATCTCAGTGAGTAAGTGGATAAGTAAAGATCGACCGATTGGGGATTGTTAAAACACAACCTCCGGGTCCGATCGTAAGGGTAAGTGATATACTTGATTTAGGTGGTAAGTACATAGTAAGTAGTAGAAAAATATACATGTATATATATATTATATACTATATATAGTAAACATTGAAACGTTTTGGAGACTTTAGAGGGAATAAACTATGCCTACAGGTGTCTGTGTGTATATTAAGTGTGGGTGTGATTGGACTCCCAACAAAATTTATGGCTAGATTAGAGAGCCAACCAACAGCAAACGCTTCAACCTTAGATTATGAACTATTTGTGGGTAGAACTAGTATCTGTGTGTGTGTGTGGGTGTGTGTTTGGGTGTGTATATCTTTCCTACTTGCTTTTGACTATGCTACTAAATACCAATTACTTTTTGCAATATTTGCTGCTTATTGTTTGACATTTATCATATGTTGATTTAGAGAAAGTATATATTCTATGACCATAATCCCCAATCTTCCTACATTTTCACTTTGATTTATATAGTTTCAATATCAATATTCAATCCATATCAACATCGTTCTTGTGTGGGTTTAGCCATTCTAAATGTATGTCCTATAACATCCATTCATCACCAAAACTTTGTAGGCGAGTGTGTGCATTATGTGTGTGTTTCGAAAACATCGAGTATAAAAGACAAGCGGTATTTAGGCAACGAGTGATTCAGCAATTTTCTTTTATAAAAAACATCTTCTATAAATTTCTCCTTTTTTGTTGTTGTTGTTTTTTTTGTTGTCAAGTATCATTCAACGTTAAATATTAATTTGTATTATCTTTGTATTTACCACTTACACCAAAAGCATTCATAAGACTCGTTTTTCTTCTTGTATTCTTCTTAAAAGTGATTTCTCTGAAACAATCTTATAGAGCTGCCCTATGACCTAAGGGTTGATAATCATACATACATACATATGCCTATATAAAGTCCACATATATTAATCAGATCTGGAGGGAGAGGTGACCTACTATATATCTCTTTTCTTTGGCTGCTATGGGAATTGATTGATTCATTGATTGCTGTGGTGGGTTTCTACCTTCTCAGGTAGTAGTTAGTGGCATGAAGCTTAGCTGGATTTGCACAATGTTCACGATATGTATGATGTCAGGATATATATATGTATATAGATATATAGTATCTTAAGGTCTATGAAACAAAAGAAATGGTAAATAAAATCAAAAATGTTGAATTTACAAAAATGTTATTTGTATTTATCGGTTATTATGGATAGTTATACATAGTAAGCTTATGCCTCGATTTAACTAGGTTTTAACTTTACTTTTATTTGTAGTTTAATCGTAGTTTTTAGCGCATATAGTATGCCAATTGCGAATGCCTCTCTCAGAGGGGTAGACAGAGAGAGAGAGTGGGAAAGAGAGGGCTGAGGGCTGAGGGGGAAAAACACACACATACAAATCGTCTTAATATCTAGACAGGCCAACCTTGGGGCCTTCATCGTTTTGCTTTACAGTTTTTAGTTTTTTATCTCCATCGAATAGCTGAGAATTGCGCTTACAATTAGTGCCATAAACTTGATAAGGTTTTCCTTTTTTTGCTTAGTTTCTCATGTTTGCCTTGATTACTTTTGCTTTTTTGCTTCTTTTTGTTTTTCAGTTTTTTTTGCGCATCTGCAGTTCTTGCAGCGTCATCGCCATATTCGAGTATTCAGAAATCATCATTCCCGTCCACACTCTTAAAACTAAACACTAAATTGTGAATGTTACAAACTTTTCATTTCTTATGCCGCTAATAATGCTTCTCAGAGTCGACGTAATCGATCGTTAATTGATAATTATCGCATAGTTAATACAATACATTGCAGTCTACCAACTGCGTTTTTGTGATTTTTATCCTGACTTTAAACAATAGCTAAATATCCATCTATGTTGGCCTATGGCAAATTGGCTCGAATGCCATCCAAACTGGAACGCAGCACCAAGCTGCCCTCCACCCAGAAGTTCGGTCTGTCCAGCATATTCTGCCACAAGGAGAGCTCCTTGCCAGTGGCATCCATCCATTCCACTTGACGGCCATAGCTGCGTCCTATTAAAGTTAAGGATTTAGTAAATATTTTAATGATAAAGTTCATCTTAAACTCACCTGTTCCCAAAGAGAATCTTATGCCGCCAACAAACTCATTGCTGGCCAATCTATCATGATCCCAGACTGTTAGCTCCAAGGCGCGTTCCGACAACTCCTCCAGAGAGACATCCTCGTACACAAAGGTATAGTTCCAGCTGGGATGCAAAGTGCGCTTCACCACTGGGGTCTTTTGCTTGGAGCTCCGCGTGCGATCAGGCAATAAATAACTAGAGAAAAACATAAAGTTAGTTTACGATTTAGTTATTAGTTATTATCCTAAGACCCACCTCTTGCAGAAGGCATCACAGGTTCCGTTTGCCTTGATGGGACTCAGGTGCTTGGCCTCTTTGACCAGCACATGCAGCTGGCCACCTTTCGAGGTACGATCCGATTTGGAGGCCACTGACTTGATGCTGCCACCAAATTTGCGTAAATTAGAGGAGCTGCCTGTTATGGAGGAGCCGCGTGAGAAGAACGAGGACTTGATGTTCTCCGGGGGAATGTACTTCAGGCCCACCACAATGTCGCCTCTGTAGGTGGCCACCTCGTCGAAGGGTTCACTCTGAAAAGTCAAAGGAAATGTTAATAAAAGTTTTCTATTATCAATATTTATATTACTATTAAATTAATTATTGCCATAAACGTTAAAAATGCAATAAATTTTTTAATATTTTTCTGCAAATGGTTATGAACTTACTCGTTCTTGGAGGAGATACCACTGCGACTGGGGATTGTCAAAGAGGCGTCCCTGCAAATTGACACTGACTTCGCCCAGGAAATCATTACGCCCAAACATATCCGAGTGCCAGACTGTTAGCCACAGAGTACGCGACTCCAGACTGGAAATGGGTGTGTGGAAGCGCATCGTCTCGTCGAAGATGGGGTTCAGCGTGTGCTTCTTGACTTTGGTTTTGCGCTTTCCGGCCTTTGATTTGTCAGGCAAAAGATAAACCTAAATGGAAATAATAAAAAATTAATTAGTAGATATTTATAAAAGTTAGTTAACTGAACTTACCTTCACATAGGGATCACTGCGATTGCGTTTGGAATCCACGGCAGCCAAGTCCTTGCAGCGCACCACATGGATTTCCAGGGCACTCAGCTTATAGTTATACTGCATGGCGAACTCCACTTGACCCTTGACCACCACAGTGCCATAGCGACCTTCACCGGCTCCCGAGTAAACACTGGCCATGGACTCCGAACGAACCTATCAATGATATTATTAAGTATTTCTTTATAGATTGATTCCTAATTTCAACTTACCCCCAGCGAGCTGAGACTGCTGCGATTCTGGTGCATGGCCACCAGACGATCGATGTCCTCATCCGACTGAGTGGGCCACGTTTCGCTGGAGGCACGCGACTGGATGGGACTGCCGGTGCCATCTGCCTGCCGCTGTCCAATTACCGGTGATCGAGACAGTTCCTCGGCGGCCACTTTGGCCTCCTCTGCAAAGAGAAAATTCATCAATTAGCACTCGAGTTTTCCACAATTAAGGCTAATGATCTTATACGAAACGATGATTAACGATCGCTGTCGATCGCTGGAAAATATTTCTTGGTATTTTCAGCTGATGGTCAGCGTTAATAATTGTTTTTTCTAAGTTTTAGCTTTTTGTTACTATAATTAAGATATATTTCCTAAGATTGTTCTAGACAAATGTTGCACGTTAAATTCGGAATGCAATGCGGTCATCGTGTGAACCATTCAGAAGGACAGAACGAGGCTAAATTAAGTCTCATCATTCATAAATTTCATTTATGACATAAGATTGTTTATGAAAATTTAAATAATTAGAAGAAAAAAGATAATTCCCAAGATTTCCCAAGGTAATTTCATGAATATTATTAAAGAAAGCATTTTAAATGTGCAGCATGAAAGGCAATCTGTGAAGGAGAGCAGCTTGGGGGCGTCGGTGCAAGGAGCATGCAGTTGGTGGCAAGCAAACGAAGCCGAAGATGCACTTGCCGCCTACCTTGCACCGCCACCTGTTCCTGCTTTGAATGATCCTCCAGCTCAGATTGCTCTTCCTCGCTCTCCACAAAGGTGACATGCAATGGAGTGCGTCGGTGCAGGATTAACGATGTCCTGCCCCCAGGAGCAGCAGCAGCAGCAGCCTCAGAAGATGTCGGCAAATCCTCTTCGAGGGTCTCTAGAAATCTATCCGAGTTGGACCTTAAACTATCATCCCACGTCCAAGCACGTCTCTTAACTACCGAAGGAGATCGCAATGTTGGTGGTATTGGCTTTGGTTGCTCCTGGGGAACAGGATTTGGGGTTTCTTCAACTAAGCTCTCACTTTGCCCGTTGGCCACCGCCTCGCGCTGTTTCATCTCAACTATGTAAGAAGCCACCTTGGCATCGATGTCGTCATCCTCCTCCTCCGAATTATAATCGTAACCATTGGTTCTTCTTTTGCAGCAATAGCAGCAGAAAAGAGATTTTCTTGGCTTTCCCGGCGTACTGCTCCAGTAATCCTGATAGTTCCTGGGGCTACGCCTCTTTTTCCTCCAACATTGGCTAAAAAGTCGCCGCCATTTCGATTTGTGCTTGAGTTTGTTGGCTCCATCCTCAGATCGCCTTTTTCTCATTCGATTCAAAGCCGCATATTGAATTTTTCCAGCCGAACTGGAGGGCAGTGAGGAGCCAGCCGGCTGGGACTTAACTCTGCCATAGTTGTGCACTCGAGCTAGTGGAGCAGGTGGGCCTGTAGCTTGTTGGGATTTCTTAGCAGCGGAGGAGGAGCTGGAGGAGGTGAACACATTATAGTTGGAGGCTTCTTTTGGCGTCGCGTTTACCCGTCGCCGCGGGCCAATTAAACGAGTCACTTGCTTCATTTTCTCGATTTCTCATTTCACAATTGCGCGTTTTGGTGGCAAGATTAATTGGTGACCGCTTTTTTTGGTGTCATCCGCAGTCGACTGAAAATGTTTTGATATCACTTTTGGCTCTGCCGTTTCGCCAACCAGTTGACAGTTGTCATCTGATGGGTTTCTCAATTGCTAATACAATGTGTTGCACAGTTTGGCTCAATTAGAAAGGTCTGAATGTGGGGGTTTTCTTGGGAAATGTAATCAAGTTATGTTGAAGGGAAACTAAAGCTTATTTATCATAAAATTATATGACTTTTGGACAGTATTTTTACAAAATTTTCAGATTTAAGCATGGTCTTTGGTATAGTTCTCAGTTTTTGTTGTTGAAAAGTTCGAATGAAGCTTTCGATAGACTTTGTAAGGGCGTGCCATCTTCTATTACTTTCAAGAATTTAAAGAAATTCCAATGAAAAAGTAAAAACTGTGCCTTGTTATCTTTGAGATACGACTGACAATAATTTATGAGAATGTGAAAGAAGTTTTTATGAGAAATCCCTTAAAATTAGAAAATTTAATTCTCATGGAAAACTTTTGTTAAGTTTCCTATTATCTTTTGCCAGAACTCTATATCAATTCAATCAAGACAGATATCAAGTATTTGTCTTTTTTTATTGGTTCTGGTTTTTCAGCCCGGCGATAGAATAGCTTCTACTTATTATCTTTTAGATATATAAAAGCAGAAAGAAACGTTGATAATAAATTATTTTTGAGCAATGTGACATAGATTGGAGGCCCTTTTGATAAGATGCCTGACGACACGCAATCTTTGCTGATTCGGACACGTAATTGGATCACTTGATAGCCGCTTAAGAGCCGCTTATCTTAGATTGGTGGCACCTGGGCCATAAAACCATTTGCATGGCCCAACGCCAGCAGTCAATTTAATTAAGTCGAAATGTTATAAGCGGCCCTGAACTTGCCAACAGTCAGCCTTCAGTTGATGACCAAAATGAAGGTGTGAAATCAAAAGGGGGAGCAGCAAGACACAATCGAGCCAGTAAAACCCATAAAAGTGGGTCAGATTACACTTCGAGGCGTTGAGAATGGCCTAGCAATCCAAATATGTAATTAAACTGAGAAATATCCATTAAAACGGCTTAAAGGTCTATCAAAAAATGTATATTTGTGTGTTTGGAAATTTGAATTTCTTTTATGCAGTCACGATTTGTTGACAAATATCTCCATTTCGTTTTCGCTTTTTTATGGCACTTCTATAATTTCCGCTTTGTTAGCACAGCGCCCAAAACATACAAAAAGAAAAAACGTGAGCGGGAAGGCTAAAACCCCAACGAGCTAATACCAAAAACCCAAAGCGAAAACTCGGCGAACTATAAGTCAAATTGAGCGAAAGACTTCACTTTCACTGGCCCAAGCAAGGGGTTCGTTGGAGTTAAGATCGGAATTCGCGGCGTCTTATAGAGCAGATCGTTGCCGCGGAGCTCCAGTCCCGTTACGCGATCCAGAGCAACTGATCCCAAGGCGGGAGTCAGTGCCAGAACCCCAGAACATGGTCAGGGCAACGGCAAATCTAAGTTTTATTCAATTATTCAAATATTGAACTTTAAGGTCACGAGGGGCGCCTAGCCAATGAAAATGCAATTAACAAGAGGCAACAAGAGGGTTGATCTGAGAGTTTGAGTGAAGAATATTGAAAGGAAACTTAAAAATCAATATTTAAGATCATCATTTATAAACATTTTGTAGAGAATATGATTATATTCTAATAATAGTGCTTTCGCTGTAGTTCTTGCAGAACACAAAAACAGCTTCTGCTACTTAATTACTACCTAACCCCTATTACAGCTTTAAGTATAGGTTTACCACTTTAAATTAAATGCTAATTTAAGCCAAATTAAAACCTAAAAACCAGCTACAACTTATGGTAATTTCAAAGTACAGTACCAAGAATCATAGATCTCTCCTCGCCATAACATCAAGATTTTCAGAAAGAGAGTGAAAAATATAAAGACATTTCTGGGTATTCCGACTTGTTTGCCTGTCTCGGGCAGAAAAGGTTAATTTAATTAGAGGCCCAAAGTGAACTGAGAGATCTTCGTGGTCGTTGGCCAACGGGTGTCGTCGCTTACAGGGTGATCATCCGCCGGCCGTTCCGAGATCCATTCGAAACTTCCGTCATGCGGCTGCGATAATTGCAAGTCGGTTCGATTTGCATAATTGTGGAAATCGTTTTAATGCAATATTATTGCATGCTTCGGCCCCCGCTGGCAACTTGGTTTCTGTTTTTGTTTTGGTGCAAAACACTTAAACGGCTGCCGGATGGGCACGGACATTGTGGCGGAGTGGAGAATGGACGTGGACATGGAGCACGGACCACTTCCGCACTCCGTCGGTGCAGCGATGCACGAAACTAAATGTGGGTATTTTTCCCCAGTATAGTATAATTTTCCCAGCGAACCTCTTATGCCGGCAATGTCACCTACCAAACATTAATTGTTTTATGGAAAATGTAGAAATGAAATAAATCCAGGAAATAAACAAGCCAAAGCTCTTTATCAACGTCAAGAGCTTAAGTAACGAACTGAAGTTCAATACTGGCCAAGAGTTTCTGGCGGGGGCACCTAAATTTAATTGTCTTTTGGCCAAGACAAACGAGTTGGCTTCAACTGGAAATAGAAACTGTGTAAACCCAACTGCTTCTAGAGATGGCAACGTGAATTAAGTTGAGAAACAACCTTGGTGGTCCATCAACTAAATTTCAGTTTAATGAGTTTTTATTATGAGTTAATTTACTTCTTAAATCTTTAATTCGATTAAAAGCACCATGGCAATGAAAGTTTTATTAAGATTTAATATATATTTTCCATGGTTTATCTTTGGCCCATGGAAGTTTAATGGCTTATCGGGGGCTTAATGTGCCGAAACGCTTTAGTAAGTAACTGAATTATCAAAAAAAAAATGCATTTCGCCGAAATGGGTTTTCATTCGATTTCTCTTTTCATGATTAATATGTTTTCCCTGATAATTAAGAGCATATTTATAGTTGATTGTTGTGATTTCTGTGATCTAATCAATGTTATAGTTTAAATGATTTTTTAAATCAAATTTTCTTGTGTTTCCATCAAACTTTACTTTCATTTTAGCCACATTAGGGAGTGCCCTTTGCTTTGAGATTGCCAACCAGGCTTTGGGCTTATTCAAACCATCCCTCATCCCCTCATCTCTAGGTGACACAGCAAAGTTCAAAGCCCGCCTGCACCCAGGTTTTTTTTTCGAGTAGCGAGTTTGAGTTTCATTGACCAAGCGGTACATAATTGTTAGCCACAAAAGCGAAAACAGCTTTTCAAAAAAAAAAAGACTATATATATAGTTAGAAAACAGCAAATACAAACGCCCCCGCCAAGCGGAACAAAGCTGTAGAGTACCCTACATCCACATTCATACATCGAGAAACTACTTCTACATCTCTGGAGCCACATTAACACACTGCGAAAATCGCTTACGGACGCTAACTGGTAACCGAAAAGCAGAAAGCAGTTGGCTATATGAGTGGAGAGCTTAATATGGATACAGTTAATTGACCTTGATTGAGTTTATTTTCGGTTAAAACAGCTGTCTACGGAACCAAATGTCTCCATCCAAATTGGTGTTAGTGTTTATCTATGAGTGTGGGCTTCCCGGGCCATCAACATCAACATTATTATCATAATGAAAGGCAAAGGCCTGTGGGAGGATGTGGCACATTCCCGAGATTCCTTTAGCTACAGCCTAATCAGCATAAAATAGTTCAGGGTGCGGCTGTCTCCTTTCTACATAATTTTTGGGTGAAACATTTTTGGGGGCATTTATATAACATTTATATTAGGAAGTGGAAGTCTCAACAGGTTATTCCAGGTTAAAAAATTGATTAATGGAAAAAATATAACAGATTCAAGCAGAAGGAAACGGGCTATTCATAAACTTATTAGCAAATATTAAAAAGCTAATAAATATAACTTCTTAACTACTTTTATCTAAACTTTATTTCCCAGTGTAGGCCTCCCCCTAAAGTTATATGTCTCCCACTCGTCTAAGGATCAGATTCCCTCAGGTCTTTTTGACGGCAAAGACTCAACTCCTTTACCACTTTGGTGTGAGGAATTTTTCATTAGGAAGGAAGCAATTTCATGGCCAGTTATTTGAGAACGCCAGCTGACGCCTGTGCGTGTCCCATAAGGAAGAAACGCACCACCATGCTGATAAGGTGTGGCCACCAGCCACCACCACCCCCAAAAGTTATGCAAAAGGTAAACATTAGGCTTTTGAGGCAACTCACCCGCTGACATGTTGAGACGTTTGCGCGCATCGCGTTTGGAGTAAAGGAACTGGAAGCCCGCACCTAGTTTTTTGCCCGTGGAACCACTGCTTGCACCCACACCACCAGCCGAAACACCTCCTGCCCCACTGACGGCTGCCGCACGAGCCGCCAATCCTGGCGAGCGGTATCTTGCACTCTTGGCACTTCCAGTGGCCGAGACAGTGGACAAATTGGAGGGTGTGTGGTTGAGGGCGCTCTGTGACTTGGTCTTGGGAGTGCTTGTTATGGGTGCACCCGCTCCGGTGGTTGGTAACCGGGGCAGTGAATTTGTGCTAGCCACCACCTGGCCGGAGTTTAAACTACGCGGCAGGGTGGATCTGGCTCCGCCAAATTGATTCGACGCTGCCTCATCGCTGGAATCCGTTTCATAGATGGCATCCGGTACACTGGAACGTCGAACATCCTTAGTAGAATCACCTCCTATGGAAGATCCTGCCGAGGAGAGCCACGGTTTGGCTGGCGAAGATTCCAACTGGTGATGATGGGCATCACCTCCTCCAATACTGCCACAGGATCGTACACGGTCCAACTGCTCGCGGCTGAGGCTCTGTTGATGCTGGCTGAAGAGAAGGTCGCCTGCCGATCGGCGCTTTGCCACAGCCAAAGCGGACGCAGACGACGAGTTATCCCTGTCCAGTTGGCTCAGCTGGCTGAGCCTCGTTCTGCTGTCGCCATTAGCCAGTAATGCCGACTCAAAACTGCCGCGCCACGAGAACCGCTCGTAGTCACTGGCCACGCCGCACTCCTCTCCGGCGTTGTCCGAATGTCCGGGAGCACCGGATCCTCCTACTCCTGTTGTTCCACTTCCCGGATGATGTACGGTGGCCTGATGGTGCAGATGATGCGAGTGAGGCGTGGTGCCATCCAAGAGGAGATCATGGGATCTGCTACGCAACTTGAGCTGTTTAATAGGCATAGCTCTTAGCTGCTCCTCCACCTCATCTTCCTCATCCTCCGTCGTTGTGGCCGAGATCTTGGCCTGCAGTCTTCGATGGTGCCGCTGACCTTGCGGCGATGGAGTAGGCGTTTCATTGCCACTGCTCACCTCGTGCATCAGAGCCACCAGTCTAGTGCCAATATGCTGCATGACCTTGGCAAATAGTTGGGGAGATCTTTCCGTGGAAGCTTCAACTTCCTCAACCTCTTTGGCAGCTTCTACTTCCGGTTCTCCACCTGCCGCCACCTTGCTAAAGGAAGCCACTAGTTTTTGATAGACCAAAGCTTCCATGGGAACACTTTGACTCTCGTCTAGGAGACCACCATCACCACGATCTCCCTCCTCGTCAATCTCGAATTTGTTGATTATCTGCTGGCAGCTGGCCGAGATCTGGGCCTTCAACTGACCCTTCCGTTCACCACCTTCCAGATCAGAGCTCGTGTAATCCGAGGAGTCATAGGAATCGGACCACGTATCCTCGCTGCTCAGGTACTCCACTATTTCACGCACCTGTTCATCTTTTATTCCGGGAACGGTTTTCATCAGTCGGGTCAGCTCGTTTTCGAAGTAGGCCAACTGAGCTGGACGGGATTTTGCCAATCTGCGCTGGGAACTCGGCGTGGTGTTGGCGATAGCGGTGCTCTGGCCTTGGTTAGGAGTCGTTGGCTTACTTTGCTGTGCATTTGCTGTGGCCACAATAAGGGTCTTGAAGAACTGCCTCATCTTGCTCATCATCAGATTGGTCTCTTCGTCGGAACTCCAGTTATTGAAGCTATCCTTTCGCACCAGATTAGGTAGGGCTAGATTCCGAAGTTGGCTGGGAACTGGAATGGCAGCAGCTGCAGCCGCTGAAGTACTGGGCAGATCCATTTTGGCCAGACTGATCTGACTGTGAGCCGGCTCCCGATCTTCACTGATCTGCTCCAGAGCAGGGGTTGGACTTTTCGGTGGCTCACAATCTGGCGCTGCCTTTAGCAGATCATCATTACTGCCAACGAAACCACTATCTCGGCTGTGGTGATGCTGTTGCTGCTGTTTCTTGGCCTGCGATTGCATCTGTACTTGCCCGCTGCTGCCCGGTGTAGGGGTCCGGCATTCAGAAGGTTCTAGATCGTGTAGTTTCTTCTCATCCAGTGAGTCGTGACGCTTGCGCAGTTGCTTCTTTCGTTTAATGGTGTCCGAGGAGGAACCATCCGAGGCTCCGGCATTGGCCAAATGAATCACAGTGTCGTCACAGCCCGCCTCCGATTCCGAGGTGTCCTCCACAGTGGCTGCAGCTGTTCCTGCCGCAGATGTAACCGTGGCATCCAGAGTATCTGTTTCCGGCAAAAGAAGATTATCCAACGAAGAATTGTGACTTCGGGGAGTTCCCCTGGCCCTAACCAGGCGTTTCCTACGTTGGCTGGGGCTGGGATGACCTTCACTATCGCTGCCCACGCTGCCACCACTTTCATCGCTCTCCGCCTGCTTCTCTCCACCACTGAAGCCCATGAAGCCGGAAAGGAAGTACTTCTCGAGTCGGGAAGAGGCCAGATCAGAAGCTCCACTGGTATCCAAGAGTTGATCCTCGTGTGGCAAGGAGTCCAGACTCTCGGAGCACTCAGAACTCACCTCGGAGGCGGTGTCATCCCCGCGGGTATCGATGGAACTCATCACACGACCATCGCCCAAGCCGAAGAAGAAGTACTTTTCCAGTTCAGAGGCACTCAATCGGTGGTGATGCTGCAGGGTACGCTGTCTCCTCCTTTCGGCCAGATCCTCTTCCTCCAGTTCGGCATCTTCAGTATCCGCCCTAATGGAGGCCACCTCGCTCTCCTCGCAGCTCTCCTCGACAATGGTGTGCAGAGTGAAGTCAATAGCGGATCTATTATATCCTCTCAGCTCCTCCTCTCGATCCATGTAGCCATGTCGCCTGGCTCCTTCATTCTCTCCTTCTGCATCTTCAGAATCCGTCGCTGTGGGTGTGGTAGTGGCATTACTTAGCTCCTCGTCCTCATCTTCACCCCTCTGACTCAGTTCCTCCACCCAGGAATCATCATCGGCCAAACCGTCTTCCACGCTGAGTTCCGGCACAGCGGGCGGGTCGTTTAGTGAGTCCACACTGTACGACTCGCGATCACTGCTCACGAGTGTTGGTTCCATGGCGCGAAATGAGTCACCCGCAAAGTTCTGGCCAAAAGTGTTGCTGCTGGACGGGCCTTTGTTGCTGCTGCGAGTGGAGTTGCTGTCGTGTATGTTGCTGTTGCTGCTGTAGCTGCTGCTACTGCTGTTGTTTGCCATTTCGTAATCACCAGCTGCACTTTCATTGTCTTTGGTGATCATGACCAAACTGCGATACTTGGCTGAAAGTGAATTTTTGGGCGAAGCCAGTTCGCTGGGCGATGTTGCAGGTGTGTCAGGTGTTGTTGCTGTTACTGCTGATATTGATAATGCTGTTGCACTTGGAGTACTTTTCTGTTGGCTACCAAATATTTTATCGTAGTCACACTCGTTTTCACCACTCACATTTGAATTCACACTCACTACGTCACTGCCACTGACAACAACACTCGAACCGCTATTCCACGTCTTTTGTGCTGCGAAAGCGTCATTATTATTATGGCCAAGTTCGCTGTTGTTGTTTTTAACGTTTTCGTTATTGCTATTATCGTTGTTGCTTTTGCTGTTACTGCTATCGTTGTTGTTATTTTTGTTATTACCGCTGAACAGCGCGGAGCGTGGAGCAACCGCAACGTTTAACATTTCATTTTCGACTGACTCCGATTTCGTTTCGAACCGATATTGCTGCTGCTGCTGCTCACGAGCGCTAACAACAGGTAAACTCAAGCGAGCGGCTCTCTCATCTACCTGCTCAGGTGCCCAACTCGTTGGAGTTGCTGAGAGTGAATCTAGCGAGTAGTCACTGTTGTCTCTTATTTTGCATGCTTGGCTGCATGTGCTGCTGCCGCCGTCGCCGTCGCCGACCCTCTGCCGCTCAGTTTGCTCAGCTGTTCTGCGCTCATCCACTAGTTTACTATCGCTGTTTGCCTTTACCTGCCGTAAGCAGGTGAGACCCACACCATCGTCATTAGTTTTTAGCACGGTCGAGGGGCTTTTCCGAGAAGGGCTGCATTCGTCGGGTTTCTCCGGACTACCTAGCGTCTGGCTATTGTGGGTGGCAGCCACATCAGTGCCCAACGTGGACAGCTGCAGATCCTCATTGATTTCGGCCACTCCTTGTCGCAAACGTTGCAGCTTTATTTCCAACTGGGAATTTTGCTTATGCAGTTCCAGCAATCGATTAACATCGTTTGAGATGCTGTGGAGCTCATCGCAAGCGGCCAGGGCATCACTTGCTTCTATCGCTTGGTGGCGCTCTGATTGCTCTCCCTCGTCTGGCAGAGATCGCATGCGGTGCAGTACAACGCCGGCGGCGGCATCGTCCGTCTGCCCGCCTACCACCACAATGCAGTTGGCGAGCTCATCGCTTGAGTTGGCAACACGGCGTTCACTTTCATCATCATTATCGTCTTCGTCACTCGATTGGCAATCACGTGCAGCTGCTGGTGCCGCCTCCTCCTCCGCTTTTTTGGGTTCCTCCTCGAGGGGCTTGACGTAGTTGAGTACAATCCCACAATCTGTACGTTCGGTGTCTGTATCATTGTCGGATGAGTCTTCCAAATTGGCCTCAGAGGAGGATAGGGAATCCCCTTCAGTGGACGAACTGCGTCTCACCCGGGCACCTGGTTGTCGATTCACTATGAACACCTTGTTGAATCTCCTTCTTTTGGGCCTGCGATCGCGCACAGTTCCCGTATCATCAGAGTCACAGGATTCCGAACTAGAGCTGGAGTTGGAGCTGCTACTGGAGCTGGAATCGGTGGTGGTACTATGGTGTCGTTGCTCCTCCGTATCCACCTCATCTAGCTGTTCCTCCATCATTCCAGCTACATTGTAGCTTCTTGCCGTGGTCTTACGGGCCTTTTGATCCTTCTCTCTTTCCCGATCCTCCTCCTGGCTGCTATTGCTGCTTGCTTCATCTGGACTGCTGGCCGCATAGTTCTCGCTCTGCAGATGGGCCGATACCGATGGCGATGCCGATGGTGATTCTGATGGTGATGCCTCATCGGACATCTTGATGTTCTGTATAAGTCGATTGGAGGACAAATTCTTGGCAATCTCCGCTGCCGTCCGCTGATCTATGTACTCTAGGTGCTGGGCTCTAGGTTTGGGACTGGCACTGGCACTTTCAGCCACATTTCCAACAGCATTTTCGACTGCAAGTCCGCCGAAACGAGTTATTACCGCAGGAGCCGCAGCTCTAGTTGCTGTTTGTATTTGTGTTGTTGTTGTTGTTGTTGTTGCTGTTGCTGCTGCTGCTGTTGGTACTTGATTTTTATGTATATTCGTTTCGTCTGCTGCTTCCACTTCTTCGTGGCTGTTTTTACTGGCCAGGTAGGTTTGTGTTGTTGCCGCTGGCTGGGTTTCGCATAGATTTCGGCTCTGGTATTTGCTGGCCACTCTCAGAGCGATTCCCTTTGTGGATGTCGCTTGTGTTGATGATGTTGTTGATATTGCCGATGCCGCGGGACTCTTATCTACACTGGCAACATGTGCCTGAATGGCGGGCACTGGCAATGTGCCGGTTTTATCATAAACATTACACAATCTACCCGTTGTGGGCGTTGCGTTATTGTTGTTGCTGTTGCTGCTATTACTTTTGGTGTTGCTGTCGTCGCTCTCACTGTTGCTGCTGCCGCGACGCGCGTTGCTCGTTTCTGGTTGCTCACCCGTCGGCGAACGCGACGCTACTAAACTTGTTGGCTTTGGCTTGAAAGCATTGCTGGCCATTTGTTGATGTTGCTGTTGGTATTGCTGCTGCTGCATCGAGTTGGCAGCTCGAATTGGACTGGCCAGTGTTTCCAGACTCCGTCCCGCTGTCCCATAACCCGAAGTGCTTGATGACGACGAGGAGGATATGGTGGAGCAAAGGGATTGCGTCATCAGTGATCCCAGCGATGCACTTAGTTCTGGTGCCGAGGACTTAAAGCCACTTAATCCGCGCAAGCGCTGAGGCATCGGCGGCGGAGTGGTGGGCAGTTGTTGGTAACTTTTGCTGGTGGCCGGCGGTGTTGCGTCGAACATGTTGCTACTAGCCGCTGCAAATTGCTGCGAGTAGGCTGCAACTATGGCGGCAAATTGCTGCTGATGACCGGCAGCCTTCCAAAGTTGCTGCAGACTGGCGGCCAATTGCTCATCTTGTTCTAGAAGAGGATTACCCGGCACTTCAGGCCAATTAGGATAGGCGGCCATGGGCACGGGAATGGGTACCGGCACGGGTATGGGCACATATTGTGGTTGCTGCTGCTGGTTGGGATTGCAGTTGCATCGGTTGTGGCTATGGTGGTGATGATTCTTCAGGAATCGTGTCTTAATCCGGGTCTTCATGCTTAATGGATGAGGAGGTGGAGGCACAGGTGGGGGTGTCTGATCAGAGCTAGTCTGCGAACTGCTCTCTGTGTTCAGCACAAACTCCTCATCAGTGCCCGTATCACTCTCCCTGATCCGGGGGCAGTAAGTACTCCTCAACTGCTTTGGTCGTCTTTGCACCAGAGGAGAATCACTATCGCTGGACTGGCGACGCACACGCGGTGGTGGAGTGGGTGTGGCTCGGGCCGTGGTATAAGCAATCATGGTAGTTGTCGTCGTCGTGGTTGTGGAGATCATGGAGGGTTCAAAGTAATCCCAATCGCAGTCCTCCACATTGCTCACAATGCTGTGACAGTGGTGTGTGGAGCAGGATGAATCGGTGTCATCCTCTTCCTCTTCTTCCTCCTCACCGTGACAGGAGGATGATGAATCCGAGTTGAGGAAGACGAGCTTGAACTCGTCGGCTTCAACGCTATATTGCGACTGCTGCTGCTGGCGACCATGTTGAGTGGAACACCTGAAGTCTAGCTCCGATGACGATGACGTTTCCATGGCATCACCCCCACCTAATCCACAAATATCACCGGAAACCATGGACAGCTGCTGCATGCCTGTGAAGTATCAGGGATGAAGTTTCGGGCACATAAGTTCGGAGACAACCACTTTGACGTTGACCAACACCATGAAGCGATACGCAAATACTGGTTATTAGCACCACAAACACACAGATACGAGAATACAGGTGAAATACTGGTTAGCCGGAGGGTGAGTTTTTCCACACCAAAGTTATGGGTTACAGATGGGTTAAGCACAAGTATGGGTGGTTGTTTAACACAAAACTTACAGCTAGCATGGGTTAAGCTTGGATGGTTACACCGAAAAACCAGAGATATTAATAGATACTAAAGGTTAGGGACAGGCTGTTTGAAGGAGTGTTAGTCATTTTATGTAGCTCAATTTATAGATTGTTATCTAGGCTGTGTATTGGTGTATGAACAAGTTTGTTTTGGCCCATAGTAGACACCTGATTGAAGTTCTTTCGAATCGAATTTTCAAATCGAATGTGATTTCAATCATAAGATCAAGTAATTTGATATCCCAATAACAGAAGGGTTACATTTTCTACGAAAACTTCTCTGTTCGTATTAATTTCTGATATACAAAGATGTGCAAAGTACAAACTTATTGCTGTTTACTTTCATAATCTGCAGACTCAATAGCTAATCTTATGGGAAGCTTGCTAAAAAGAACTAAAACAGAGCTTCTACAATTAGGTTGGTTTCTAACAAGAATCTCCATGAAAGTCAAATATCCTTTATTATTCCATCCTGCCCAAAATTAAATATTGCTAAAATCATTTTCCTTGCCGTTCAAGTATCTTGCCATCTTGCCAGGAAGCAGTTCAAAGACTCTTGATTGATTATGATTGTTTGCCACAAGCTTGTCTTGCCAAGACGAGAGGAGTAGCAAAAATTTGCCAAAAAGCTTTTAAAGTTACCAACATCGTCATATCCTTGTTCGTCCACCAAGCCCTCTTGCCCCAACCCTTACGGTTTGATGGTTGCACAAACAAAAACTGCAACGGCGGATGCACAGAGCGTCAATCCCTGACAGCCACAAAGTAAACATTTGATCGGTGCCCTCCCAGCACCAACATACTTCCTTTTTATCCGTTTTTTTACACTGGGAGAAATTTCTAGGACAAACTAAGTTCATTATAACCCTTTAAATTGTATTTTTTCCACTAGGAATCAGAGATTTCTAGTACTTTTCACTTCTTATTTGATATTTCATTATGGTACTAAAAATAATTTCAGTTTAATCAAAGATTTTAGAGTTTAAATTGTTCTAAAAATACAAAAATTTATATAAATTATAAGCATTGTTCTCTGTGCATTCAAGAACGGTTCCCTGGAACCACGAACTGCGAACACTTTTAGGCATTCACAGAGCGGTACCCACATCGGAGCACAAAAGGTGCACGAGATAAGATTAACGCTACAGTTTTGGCAGCACTGTGATGCTCCGCATAGCACAAAAAATTCCAGTGGGTGGCTTTCACTGGCTTTTCGGTTTGTCTGTGGGTACTGACAGTACAAGAACCCGGATTGTGGTATCCTTCGAGGCGACAACGGCATATAGACACACGCTGCGTTGGTGGTCACCAAAACCAGACTCCCACAAATCGCCAAATTGAAACATAACAAAAGCCGGCAAAGGCGTTCGGTAGGCACTCTTCCGCTCCTCCGTCTCATCAACCCCTGAAGGTAAAATCCTCTAAAAACTCTTGAAGTGCGTGCGTGGGTGGGAAATCGATTTATGAGTTGCCAAAAAATTATCCCGCCAGCCCACGGCACGGTTTTTGTATTTTGTTTTCGGTTCTGTGCCACAAAATCTTTTGAACCGCGCCAACTTTGCTCTTAAATTTCGGTTTGTCGGGTCGTTTGTGGTCATGTCGCCAATAGCTGCAGGGGAAATTTAATTCAAATAGAGAGAATGGGAAATGGAAAATCTGTTTGCTGAACAAGGCGAAAATTGATGGAATACTTTTGGGAGCTAGCAAAAGAAGTGAGCGAGAAAAAGTGTTGCATTCTTTTGGGATCCGCTTCAAGAAGCCAATGACCAAAGAATGTCGAAGGGGATGGATTCCCAAAGGACACTAAAGGCTTGGGTGTACAATGTTCTAATTGCCAAGTTTATTGACTTTGTTGTGTTGGTACAAGGTTGGTATTAAGTTGGGGTATGCCATTTTATAGCTTAAAAACTGATAAAAAGTGATAAAAGGTAAAACCTGATGTTGCGTCTAAAATTGGTAATATTTTGATCACTATTTTGCCAAAAAGTGCTCAAAGTTGGAATGTTATACATCGTTCAGTTCGTAATTTAAATTCTAGCAGAACTATATTCCAGCCTTGAAAAGTCAATTTTTGGCCATTTTTCGCAAAATTTGATGATGGTACCCCTTATCAAAATTGTGAAAATTGGCAAAAAATGAATTTTGTCCCATCAACCCAAAATTTATAGTGTTGTTATTACTGGTCGTTAGCTTCACAAAACAGTCGTCCTTTTTGCTTTAAGTCTTGTTTTGGCCAATTTATAGCTTAAAAGCCCATAAAAAATCGACAGGATAAAACCAGAAGTATTACTTATCAATTTTATGTTTTCCCTTTAAGATTAGAATCCGAATTAAGTTAGAACAAGTTTCTATTTGTATTAAAACTTACTTTCTTAAAGTAAATAAAGTGCAAGGCATCTTCTGGTGGCTTGACAATGACAGTCAACTCCAGAGAAGCGCCCACCTTCAGTCCCAGAAGGAGCTTAATTAATTGAGCGAAATTAGACGGAAGACGGCGAAGCCCTTCACAAAGAGTTTGTTAGTCACCCAGGCCATCACCACCCACCATCAGCATCAGCATCAAAAGTAGCATCAGTACAGGCATTAGCATTACCATCACCAAGTTAATTACGCTCCCAAACATACACTTAGCTACACAGATACAACTACATAGTGTACACTGAGAGAAAGTCTTGTAACTTAAATTAAGAATGAAATGTTAGAGTTGATAAGTCAATATTAAACTCTCAATTTAAGTAAAAAGCATGAAGGATTTCTAGCCAAAATTTAAGATTTTTTCCAATTTAAGTTAATTCTTAACTTTTTATAAACTTTTCTCTCAGTGCTTTGTATAGGGACAGCTATTAGCACTAACCTTCTTCGGCGGCCTTCTCCTTCTCCTTGCGACGCTGCAGCACGACCTTCTTGAAGACCACTGCCGCGGCCTCCACTGCATTCTGCAGTTCCTGCTCACCCAAAGTGCTGGTATGGGTGGCTTCCTAATGAGCAGAACGGAAGGCGGGGAATAAGTTTTTTTTTTAGCCGTTTTACCATTTAAGCCTACTCTGTCTTCAGGCATTTTGATATTCTACTTACCGCCGAGCTGTTTGGATCGCCACCATCCTTGTTGTTGGCCGTGGAGTCGAGGGATTTGCCATTGACCGGCTGCTCCGGGCCAGATCCTTGGGTGGTTTCCCCTTGGGAGGGATTCTCCTCCTGGCTGGCTGATGCTACTGAGGCGACAGGAATTTCTGTTTTTTTCAGGCGCATGGCTAAATCAGAGTTTCTATGCATAAGCTGTTGATGGAAGGAGTAAATGTGCTGGGGCGTGCTACCTGTGGGTTCGGTTAACGGGAAGGGGTGCAAAAGCGTTCATCAATTTTTGGGTGCCGGAACAAGCGCAGCTACTCAAGGTTCTACCCAGGGACCGCAAAAATTAAGTAATTAATTTATTAATTAACCGCAAATACAAAGGTATTTAGGCGCAGGCAAATACTACTACTTGTAGGGTCAGCTGAGGAATGGGTCAACTATTTTATGGCAATACAAAAGTTTTATCTTTGGTGTCTACTTTTTTATGGATGGTTACTTTTAATAAAATCTGTTGATTAAGTAATTGGTATTATACTAAGGTTTAAGCTTTTTAATCACTATTTGATTATATTTTATTTAAGTACAATGTTTAGGGGTTTTTATGTCAACTTTATGTCATGGAAAGTTTGAAAATTTAATCAATGATATATAAATTCAGGATTATTTAGTAATACATTTGTAATGAACTTATAAAACAAATCAAAATATATAAAAGCCACATATTTAGCCATTTAATTAACGTAAAATCTGGAATTTAAAGTAAACATAAAGCTAGCTTTAAACTATTTGTGATTGTGGGCAAAGCAAGGGACTAAATTTAGGATCATTTGTAAAAATTATGAAGTGTAAAGTCTATACTCGTATTTTCTACATAATACATTTTTATAGATTGCTAACTACATAATTTGCTCTATAATTATATATATGAAAAATTTTTTCTAAGGCAATGATATCTAGTATGTTATGATTCCAATCTAGTGATGATAAATGGATGGGTGCTTGAGTAAAAAACCGGTAATAATTGCGGTCCCTGGATTCTACGGATGCGTGGGCGCAGAATGCAACCATAGCTACTATTAAAACTGAGGTATCCTCGGTACTTACCCTCCTCAGCCTCGCCGATCCCAGTGCGGCTATTGCGGCGTCTTGCCTGTGGAATCTTGGAGTTGCCACGCGTTTTGTCTAGGATATCGGCTAAGGGGCGAGGGCTGGGAATCTTTGATATCTCCGTTTTCTTTGTGGGCTGTTTGGAAATTTTTATTATATTTTGTAAAGTTTTTTTTTATATTTATTTACAACTCACCTGCGTGTCCTTTTCGGGATGCGAGAAGGATCTTCTTGTGACCGGTTTGGGTGTGGTTTTAGCTCCCGAATCTTCAGAAACAGAGCGCATCTGCTCAGGCTTCCTTCTCTCGGCGGCATGGCTATCAGAGGCAGCACCACTACTGGTTGCACCTTCATTGCCAGAACCTTTGCCACTGGCATCCGAGACCTGTGACAGTTGAGCAAGTTCCTCCTGCTGCATTTGCAGCTCTCTGGACTGCCGCCGCCTCATGCGATTGTGCATTAGCGGAGTACGGGGCAGAGCAGCTCCACCATAAAAGCCCTGTGGAGTACCCATATCAGGATAGTAGCTGGGCACACCACCTGAACCGCCACTTGCACCCAGACCCACGCCGGCACCTCCTCCATAACCCGAATCAGCCAGTACATTCTCAGCACTATAAATGGGTCTCTGGGATGAATTCTGGTAGCTACCATCATCCGATCCATTATTGTAGATAATCCGTGGTTCACTGCTAAATCCGGCGTTGTAGTTCCGCTCGTACTGCACCTCATCGGACTCCAAGAAACTGGTGGCACTGTCGCCAAAGTAATCAACGTATTCCGGACGATTGTCCAGCTCTTCGGTGACATCGGGAAACTGATGGAACTGCTGCTTGGCCTCCCCAAAAGTCCGCTCCTCTTTCAGGCAATCCTGTCTTACCAGACGACTGGGCGATCGACCTCCAGTTCGCTGAACAGCTGTCGGAATCTCTGGCAGTAATCGCCTATTCTCCGGATGTGCCTTGGTATTCGAGTACTCCTCGTTGCTATGACTGCGCACCTTGATCATCTTGGCATGCGGATCCCGGGAGTGATGAATATTCACACTCTGACTACTGGAGTACTGCTCGCCTCCGCCGGCACTGGTGCTGGCCACACTACCTCCACTTCCCAGGTCAGTGCCACCCACGGCGGGTACATGAGGCTGCGAGAGAAACTGTCGGGGATTCGGTACACTTGGAAAGAGGAAATTCTGCTTGGCCCTCGGCGAAATGGGCATGAATTTTCCAGGGGGCGTAGAGTGCACGGTAAGGGTGTTTCCACTGTTGAAAGCCTCCGGATTTGGCAGCGTTTGCTGACGCATAAACTCCGGAGAACGTCGGAACTGCGGGGAAGTCTGTCGTTTTGGCGGCGATGTGGGCAATAGTTTGACATGCTGCTCGGGATTTGGTAGCGTAGCCTGCCGAGTCATTCTCGGCTTGGGCATGGGAACCACATCTTGCTCATCGCTGGCCATACTAGACGCCTGTGATTCGTAGTTCAAAGGTGGTGGAGCCACCGTCGAGGAAGGTGCTCCTGTGCTGGGCAGCAGCTTGGTGCGATGATAGGTGCTGGGTGGCTCTGGGAACGAGGTCTGTCTCATGAATGGCGGATAGCGCTGCTGCTCCCCCGGCGATCTTTCCGGGGAGCGACTGTACAGACGGTTGGGGGAGGTGGACATGTATATAGCTGGAGTTGGTTGAGCTGGCAGCGTTGATTGGCGGCGCACCTGCAGCCGATGATGCGTTGGCGTGACCTCCAGCTGGGGTTGCTGTTGCTGCTGTTGCTGTTGCTGCTGCTGTGCGTAGTTGTCGCAGTCACCCACCGTCACACCAACTCCCACTCCCATACCCATTCCCGGCATGGTGTTCATGTGGATGACGTCGTCGCTGTTGTAGGCGCTCGGATAGAGCGGACTTTTCTGCAGCTGATGAGGCGATGTGGGCGCCGTTAGGTTCACGGAATTATAGTTGGCCAGATTGCCACCACTGCCGCTGAGAGTTGGATCGTTGTTCAGGCTGCTCGGTAGCGTCGACTGACGCAGGACCCTGCGGCCCAGCTGCCACTTGCTGCTGGTGGTGGGCGTGGCAGTGCCACTTCCGTAATTGATGCCGTGCGTGGGTCTCGGTTGCGGAGGTAGGTGATGCTGCTGATGGTGCTGGTGCAGGGTGGGATAACTGCCCGCCGACTGGGCCTCAATCAGATGCTGCTGCTGCGGGTACAGGTTGTCTGCCACCGGTTGCTGCGAGTTGGGATTGTTCGGATCGTCCTCGGGATCTGTTGGGGGAAGAAGGGTTACTCAATATTCCGTAAAGATGGAGATTGGGGTAGCAAAAGTTGCATTTTCACTATCATTTATGATTACTAGCTTTTATTAATTAAAAAAAATCCACAACATGCCATCTCTACTCACTCGATATAGTCCAAGAACGACGGATGCTCTTCCTCAAGACGTCGCTGGTGGTCAGATGGTCGACGGCACTGCAGGATCCCAGAGCATAGGCGTCCTTGAGCCACTCGCCGCTGGCTGATTGTATCTCCCTGCAAGAGCAACAACATTGCCATTTTAGAAACCAGAAAACCTCTCCAAACATATTTCCCCCAAACGAAAGTTGGAGACGTCAACGACAGTCAACAAGCAAATCGTCAGCTCAGCGGAATCAACGTCTGTCTGTGTTAGCGACAATTGGCAGACTGGCTGGCTGACTTATTCAAAAATACACCGAATGCCGGATTGCCTGTGTTGTCTGTGGCACATCAGCAGCAGCAGCAGCAGCAACATGAGACACCAACACATTTTGGGGCATTCAAGCCAAGGTGTGAGCCATCGGAAGAGTTAAAGACGGCACACTGCCTTCGGTTCGCACAAACAGACAGAAATACTCGTATATCTTTTTATTGGGGGAAAAACTTTTCCAGGGAAACCACAACGGAAAAGTTTCGGGTCTCAAACACGAAAGAAATAATTACATATTTAATGAATAAGTCAAACTTCAACCGGAAGTTGGTCCTGTTTATCTTTAACTTTAATTTCGGTTTTAAATAAAGTTACAAGTTAACTAGAAGTGAAGGTAGGTACTATGAGTTAGTTTAGCTTTGCTATAAATTTATAATCTTTTAATAAACTAAACTTAACTTTTAAACTTTTGAACTACTATAAAGGCTTAGTATTTATTTGTAAAGGAGAAACTATCTGTCTAAGTTCCTTCATTTCTCTTTGATTAAATCCAGTTTTCCCCTTTTTTATAACCAATAAGATTACGATTTTTCCTAAAGAAAAGACACAAAAACTTAATAATGAACTTATTCATAAATATGTACACCTTAAATGCCTAGTTGGTTAGAAACATTTATGAGTATTAGCAAAAGTAAGAATTCAATGTCTGGCCAAAGATTCGTGGAATAATTGTATTTCTTTTGGGCCAGACACTGTGCCTTTTGTGACTGACTTTGAGGGTGCAGTCAAGCAATTGAATAAATTCCTGCTGAGAGACAGACATGAATGCAGACGCCTTCCATCAAGTAACCGGGGTATAAGGGTGGGGCCGGGTCCCAACGTAATCGTCATCGCAGTCATAATTATCCGGCAGCTGCAGCAGACGCGTCCAAATTTGGTGTGCGTCATGCGTGTTGACAGGCGTGAAATCACTGGCACCTGTAGGCGACCTGATGGATTCTTGGCTTGGGGGAAATCTACATATAACCACAAAAGATTCATAAGTATCTATTTGGCCTGCAGCTGCTTTCGAGTTGGCCAAGATTTAATTACTCAAATGTCTGTGTCTATGGCCTTGCGAACTCTACACGGGCATTTCTCAGCTGGGGGAATTGTGTTTTTGTATTTTTGGGGCCTGGGCTTGCCCATTAACACTGAACCTTTTGGAGTGTGTGGGTCGAATGGTCTCATCAGAGGCAATTGTTGTGTTGCCAAATGTTGGCACAAACCGAGTGGCTGATGCTGTGGTGACACAGGGCGTATGTGCAATGTGTGGGGTGGCTCATGTTTATGCTGCCTCAAATGGGGCCAGAACACATAGTGCAGCTCATTAAACGGCCCGAGCACTTGTTGACAGTTAGCTCTTGGTTAAATGAACACGTTTGGCTATCCCATCTCATGTTTTGGGTGACATTTTGCCAACTTTGAAGTTGCCTAATTGCAAAGTTAGTTAATACCATCTTGAAAATCCCTTACTGGGCATGGAAAGTTATGTTTAATTACAAAATAATTTCTGCAGCTTACATAAAAAGAGATAGAAAACTGTACACACACACACAGACATGCATATTTTATTTCCAAATGAACTTGCTGTTAACAAACACCAGTGTCCATTTAAGCCGCTTCACATACCAAATGGGCAATCAAAAGTGTAAAATAAACACAACTAGACGACGAAAACAAACCGTTTTCAAATATTCTAAACTGCAGTGCCAAACGAAACATGAACATGGGGGGGAAAGAAAATTGCCGCATCAGTTATGCGGAGTTTCTGTTGACAGTCTGTGACACCTGATGCCCACGGGCAGAGATGGGTTCAAAATGGAAAATAAACAAAAGAACCATTTCTATCGCCTTTCATTGTGCATAAACCTCTACCTGGAATTAATTTCGACACACGCAAGCAAGAGATTTCATCTTTGCCCGACTGCAACTGCATACTGTGTTTTTCCATCTGCACCAACAGGCTTTGGTTCGACTATTTTTTTGGCGACACAAAGCAACCAAAAGGGCATGCAAAATTAGATTGCAATGTTGAAAATTGCAGCGTATGCGCTACAAAGTCTAACGCACAAAAAAAAATGGGAAAACAATTGTCAGAGCAGAAAACGGAAAATGTAAATTTGGGTGGGGTAAACTCGAATTGGAAATACCCTTTACAGAGTCATGATTTAGATATTATTAGGATTTTATATCATAATAAAAGGTTCTAGGAACGGCTTTCTCCTTAATATGTCGAACTAACGGCTTAACATTATATTATTGCATACTTCTAGGCACTCATAGAAATTATCACCTTCCTAGGGATTTCAGCTCTTTGGAAACAGAACATTGGATTCCATAATGATTTAAGTCTTAATTAAAAATTCAAGCATATCTCAAACCTGAAACATTTTAGATCGCCCAAAGATCTTTTACAGGGTATTTCCACCACCACATAGACAAACATGCCTTAAGACACGAGCACAAGGACACACAAAGTAGTGTTTTGTTGTTTGGCTTAGTTTTTGGTGTGTGCGTGAGTTGAATGGTTTTGTCGCATTCACAGAGTTTTGCGAGTTTGTTAGTTGGCAATGAAAGTTGGACAGACATATAGATGGAGAAACACAGAGAGTGAGTGAGAAAGAGAGAAATTTAAACAGACAGACAGAGAGGGGAGTGACAGTGACAGAGACAGAGACAGTGGCAAGGACACACTTACATTTGCTTGTGGCACACCACGCACACCCAGTCCGTTGTGCGCGATGTGAATTCGCGACAGGCTTTGCACACGCGCAACTTGCAGACGCGACAGGGGGCGCCGCGGTTGGTGATGCGGCCCAATTCGGTGTTGCATCGGGCGCAGTGGCGACTTGGGTCGCTCGTGTGTGCGTTGTGGTTGTTGTGTTGTTCGAGCTGTTGTTGTTGTTGATTGGGCTGCATGGTTGTCTGTTGTTGTTGTGTGGCATCGAGTGGCTGCACTCCACCAACGACCTTGGCCGCACCCTTACGCCTCAAAGCATACAATTCAGCGCGCAAGAGCCTGTTATTGTTGTTGAAATTCGGTTGGAGTTTGTTGTTGTTGAAATTGTTGTTGTGGTGTGGTGTGGTGTTTTGTTGTTGAACATTCATTGAAATTTTTTGTTGTTGTGGTTGTAATTACAGTGATTGTTGTTGGGGGGTTGTTGTGGAAATTGGAATAAAGTTAGTATTGGTGTTGTTGTTGGTTCCATTGTTGCGTGTTGTTGTTGCAAGTTTGGAGGGGTTAAAGTGGTTTTTGTTGTGGGTCCGTTTGGAGGGTTTCGGTTTTGGTTTTGGTTCCAGGTTGGTAACATAATTACATGACAGGCGCATAGACATTTTAGTTAGATTGTTGGTTAAGAAACGAAAACACGTTACAAAAGTTAACATGACAGAGAGCGAGATAGAAAGATAGACAGAGAGATAGAGAGAGAGAGCGAGATAGAGAAAGTGGCAAGCGTGTGTTATGGGTATTCGGGTGTGAGTGTGTGTATGTGTGAGTGCGTGATGTATGTGTAATTGAATGGAAAGAGACAAAGAATAAAAAGAGCACACAAAAAGTTGTCATTAGTTGATTTAGTAGCAATTTAATCGATTTTCGAATTGAATTTTGGTTAATTTAGGTTAGCTTGATTGGTTAAGGCAACATTTTTCACGTGCGCAACACTTTTTTTTATGAATTAAACTGATTAGCCGTGACACAAAAAAAAAACCAATTAAATATTTGTCACAACAGGATGTGCACAAAATTTAAGCTTGAATTAAATGAAAAATATGAATGCAGTTAGCTTGGTGGTTGTTTTGGCATATGGAGTTTGAGTTTTCCTTGGCTTTCGGTTATAAGCATTAAAAAAAAGACTAATTTTATGTAAAGAACTTTTCGTTTTTATCCATAAACTTATGTTTTCAAATCTAATGAATATATTCAAACTCTTTTTAATAAGTTTTCCTCATTTTACATCTGTTTAATAAGAGTTCCAAGGACATACATTCGACCCCAGCTGTCCACTAATTTGATTAATTTCCAACTGGACAATGTGGCCTAATTAAATGTCCCTTTCCTGCAACTCAAATTATGCAAATGACGCACATGTAGGTAGGAAAGTTGGCAATCCAATTAAATCGGCAATCAAACGTAAGTCGATGCCCGGTTGGCAAATTAAGTTTGAGGTCCCCTCCATGTCCCAACTCCAATCTCTTGGGATTTTCGGGTATTTCGATGGCTCCCATCTCCACCCCACCTTAAGCCAGTTGCTTAATATTAACGTGCAGCTGGCAGGCGAGAGCCATAAAACATGGCCAAGAGCTGCTGACACATAAAACAAACACATGGGTGCCTACACCTGGGGTTAAAAAAATGCTCACAAGGAACCTGTACAAAAATTATTATAAATCTGAAAGGTTTTTTTTTTTATTAATCTTTTTTTAAGCTACCCCTTATTAAGTTGACTATTGATAAGATAAATAGCTTAAAAAGGCATCATAAGTACTAAGAACTTTCTTATTTAAATTAAAAAGTAGGCAGTTCTCTTATTCAAATTACCCAAGGAATCCTATTATTTTGCCCACAATTGTAACCAAGTACGATGATGTGATGTGTCGGTAAAGGAGTCACGCAGAGCGCATAAAAATCCAAACAGGACTTTGGTTTCTGTGTAAATTATGTTGCCATCAGGCGTAGTAACAACAATTTTTAATTATAATTTTATCTGCAGCCAAGCATCGGGAATGTGGCCAGCTTTATTAGTGCCACAAAATCAGCCAAACGACAAACAGCAGCCACAGAGCCTAGTGAAGCGGCTGCCATGAAAATGGCAGGGCAGGAAGCGGAAACGAAACCCAAAACCGAGGCCAAGCCAAAACTGTTGCATACTCCCAGGAGCCCAAGCACAGCCAGCCAACGAAGCACTAGAACAGCGAACTAACCACGGACCACATACCCACAGTAGGGGACATGTTTTATTGGCCTGGTTAACGCATAAAGTCTGCACCCACCGCCAAATAGCAAAAGCACGCTGCTTTTCGGCCTTCCAACTCGTTCCAGCACACTGGCAAAAAAAAGGTTTTCCCATATATTACTTTCATATTGGCTCTTTACACCTCATTTTAAGGGCAATTGCCATAAATCGATGTTAAAAATCTGGCAGAATGAAGCTCAATTTATTTACTTTTGGGAAAGTAAATAAAATTAAATGGCTTTCTTATTTTACCTTAATTTAAGATGAAATTTCAGACTTCCGTTCATTTCTGGCAAAAATTTCATATATTTATAGGTTTTTTCTCTCTAACTTGTCCATTTTGGATCCCAAAAATGAAAGGTGAGTTAGTTTTAGGAACCTTCCTTCCTTGCCAATAACAGAAAAATATTTTTTTTAGGTACGAATGTAGTTATCTCTCAACGAGGTATGACATTCCCTGATGTGAATATTATTTTCATTTTTATAAGCTAAAAACTTCTTAAATTTTGGCTTTAAAAGCAAAGTTTTCCCTCGAAGGTTTTTCAACGAATCGCCTTTAGTTTTCCGTGTATCCATGCTCATGTTTAATGTGCCATCTGTTGGCATGTCAGGATCGCATATACATCGAGTGTGCGGCATGAATGAAGTGGGATGGAGTCGAGTCGAGAGATGTGGCAATGGCAAAGTGTTCGCTGTCGCATGTTCGAGTGCCCAAGTGCTGGTGTAGTTATAGTTGTAGCTACACGACCAGCACGGCTGCGTTATGAATTAATAATCATAATAAGCCATTAGGGCGGGTGCCACCAGCCACCATCACAGTAGGAGCAGCAAACAATGGGCTGCCAAAAAGTGCTAACTCTAATGGCCATAAATTTCACAGTGACCATGAAAGCGGTGCAAAGACCTGGATTAGTCGTAACCTGAAAGCGGAACAGTTTTTGGTTAAGAATATGATTAAAAACCCAAACACGGCCTAAACAAATAGCGTTACGCATGTTTCTGGAATGTCCTGGGCCCCGCTCTGTGGGCTTATGCAAATAAGCAACTAATTAAACTGATGTAAATCAGCTGCGTCCTTCGTCCGGGACATTCTGGGTGGGGTTGTACTCCCTTTTGGCCGGTTGAGCGTGTGACCTTTTGGGTCAGATCGAACACCTGCTACAGCGGGGTAAATACACCGCACAGCGATGGCTTATTAGATATCAAAGGGAAGAGATAACATTTTCCGAGTCTGGCCTTAATGCTTTGATGTTGCCATGGGCCAAAAGCAGACAACAGGCAAATAATTCGCTGCTTTCCCAGCTTACAGTTAATGCAATTGGTCTGTGTTTTTGGTCTGACTTCAAATGCCAAGGATTTTATTTGGCCAACGAAGGTTTGATTTAATATTTGCAATAAACAAAAACGAAAATCTATGGCTTAAGTAGTTTCAAACTTGTTGATTTCCATCATTTTCGGGTAATTAGCATTGCTAAAAGATTTTAAATTGATATTTTGTGTTTTAAAAAGGCTTCTTTAATGAGCTTTGCCATTTGAGATTTCTATGTGCGTTTAAGAAGAAGATTTAACTTAAACTTAAACTCAGTAAGAGACTTGAACTAAAGTAATCCCTCAATTCTTTTAACATTTCTTTGTTTTCTCTATGAAACAAGTGTTTAATCTGATTGATGAAGAGTTTTCCACTGCATCTTAGAAAGAAATCGGATTTTGTGATTATTGGAAAATCCACTTTAAACTAAACTAATTAATTTCCAAGAATTGCCAGTTAGTAATTGCTAGAGAGAGAGAGGACATTGTGAGGAAATTTCAAGGTTTTAAATTTGTCACTAGTAAAATTTTTCAGGTATTTTCAAGCTTGACTGTTGGTAATAAATCCACTAGAGAAATTATTCCCCACTTTCTGGTCATTTTACTGTTTTCCTGTGAGTTTTCCCCCCATAGATTTTCTACTGAAATATGCCATAATTCAAATCGTTCCCGACCACAGTCAACGGCACTGGCCGTTGGCAGCACCGGCTTGTCCATTAGATTTACGATTTTAATGACGCCCAACGCTGGCGCTGATGTGCCAGAGAATGCGAATATAAATAATTACCAGGCTAAATATGATTTGTCGGGGCGTCTGGAGTGGACTGGCTCTGGATGTTGGCTGTTGGATGCTGGATTTTGAATGCCTGGGGGGCAAGGACAATGGCCAGTAGCTAAGGCAATGGCCAACATGCCGTGGCTCTCGCGTTTCCGTTTCAAATTAAAACTTTTTTGACAGCGTTGCGAGGCAAAAAAAAAAAAAAGCACAGAGCGAACTCAACTTGAGACAGCTGTGGGGGCGTGGCATTCTATTTTTTTTCGAAATGTATATATAGCAGGTGCTTTAAATTAAGGCAGATTCGACCGGTCGAGCACCGGAAATGGCCCGTCATTTGTGCGCCTTTTAATTATGCAATGCACGACAAAATGGCGTCACCCGACATTCCCTGTGCATGTGTGTGGAAGTAAGTGCTTGAAAATGTTATTAGTTTTAATTAATTTTAAATGTGAGGACTAAAACGCCGTCCGGAACACGCAACCATTCACTCAGCCAGTTAGCCAGCCATCCGAAAAAGTAAAGTAAAAAAAACTTTTCGTGTTTTCAACCGGGTGGTGAGCGCAGGTAGCATTTTGCACTTATGCAGTTTGTAAAATTATCCTCTTTGTCGGTTGACTTTTTGGTTTCCTCATACAAACAGCACTGTGAAACACAAATATGTTGCCGTGCCGACGAATATGTATAGTATATATGGTGAGCAAATCAAATTAAATGCGTATTTTGTTGAATTTAAAGCACTCGTCGCACACGTGTCGTATGCTTAATGGGCCAGGACCATAAACCTAAATAAACGTTGCCTTTTTTTCTTCTTACCCTACATGTACGAGTATGTGCTCAGCCTGGCCAAGAGTTCTCGTGTGGAGAAACAAGGCAACGGATACATTTTATTAAATGGTTCGTAACACCGAAAAGGTTGCAAGTAAAATGTTTTATGGCAAAATGTGGTGAAATACTAAAGTTTATGATCTTGTAAAATTA